GGGCAAGAGATGACAAGAGGACAGCCCAAGTACTTTATTGATATCCTTGAGAAACTGAGTAAGGTCTTGTCTGTTGAACTTATGGGAGTATAAGAAAAAGATTCACATAGAATTTGTAGGCATGCATAAGTTGCTATCTGCATCACTGGAGGGAACATCCAAATTGATTAAGATCACAAGTGTATTTGAATAAATTTTACACTTTGATTCAAAAGATCAACTCCAACAGTATAGAACAAAGCAAGTGTGTCTGGTCAACAGTCCATATGAAAAGACTCCAGGGTTCTAGTGGACTACAAGCTCAACACGAATGATCCTAAGGATGACTTTTCCCTCCGTGAAGAGAATTAGATCAGCAGTCAACACTTTCCAATCTTTTTTTCTTTTCAAAATTCATAAGTAACTACATGCATTCCTGAAGTACTCATGGAAACACCTGGGCTCTGTTTCCCACTTTCTGGGAGCTCACCACCTTCAGCTATGAAATGGTGACCAAAAAAAGCTCATGTGATTTTAGATTGTTTTAGATTATATTTAGATTAGATGTGTTTAGATTGTATATGAATGAATGAATGAAAAAGTATTATTAAACATCAACTATGGGCCAGACTTGTGCAAGATACCAGGGATACAAATACAAAAGTGAGACCATCTCTGCCTTCACGTAGCTTACATTTTAATAGGGAAAGACAGCATATATATAGGAGTGGTGGCCAAGGAAGGGTTTTCTAATCTTGGGAGTCATGGAAATGGTGACTGGAGAGGGCAAAGCCAAAATGACAGAGAGAAGGCTGAGGGCTCCCAAATTGCCCTCCAAACAACTCTCAGTAAGGCCTTGAAGTGAATTCTGGAGTGGCAGAACCCATGAATGGACAGAGTGAAACAATTTTCCAGCCCAAGACAACTTAGGTTGGCAGGAAAGGCCTGTCCGACCAGGGTGATAGTGGAGCTCAGGCCAGAGCAGGCATGCCCCCAACAAGACAGCAACAGGCCTTGAGGGCAACTGAATCAGCAGCAGTGGCTCTGGAGTTCTCAAGCCACAGATTATAAGGGGGTTGGACCACTGGTCAGAAGAAGAATACAAGGGTCCCTTTGCTGGTACTGGCTGTAGGACTCTGTTGCATTGCCCATACAGGGATCTAGGTCCCAGTCCTGGGTCAAGTCCTAGGGCAAGAAGGAGCACTAGCACACCAGAACTTACGGCCACAGGTGAGCGAGAACCCTGGTAATGGTTCCAGGGCAGAAAAGAGTGCTTGTGATGTTCACCGACCAGAGCACAGGCCAGGAGAGTAGCAAACACACCTCTCCTTAGATCATACCACCCTGGAAGAACTGAAAACTGACAGACCCCCAGAACACGCTGCCCAGAAAACTTGAAGCTTGGGACAATGCCCACTTGATACAGGTAGCAGAGCCCAGCTTTAATATAAAGTTAAAAGTCAAGAAATAAGCTGGAAAATAAGCAAACTACAAAAAAAGGTCCTGACCATAGAAAAGGTACTATACAATGAGCAGGACCACGTGAATATTGTACACAGTAACAGCAATATTGTACAATGATCAACCGTGAAGGACTTAACTCTTCCCAACAATACAATGATGCAAGACAATTCTGAAAGACATGATAAAAAATGTTATTCACCACCACAGAAAGAACTGATGGAGTCTGAATGCAGCTCAAAGCATACTTTTAAAAAAATTTTATTTTTCTTAATTTTTTTTTGTTCTGTGTTTTCTTTCTCAATGTAACTAATATGGAAATATGTTTTGCATGACTGCACATGTGTAACCTATATCAAATTGTTTGCCTTCTCAGTGAGGGGCAAAGGAGGGAAGGAGAGAATGTGGAACTCAACATTTTGAAAAACAAATGTTAAAAATTGTTAAAATGTTTTTTAAAATTACATGTAATTGGAGGAAAATAAAATATTAAATAAATATGTTATAATCCTCCAGTAGAAAAAAAAATGGATATTGGGTGAAATAGAGGACTTTCAAGCATTCTTAACAAAAAGACCAGAGTAGACTAGAAAATTTGATTTTCAAATACAAGACTCAGGAGAAGCAGAATAAGGTAAACATGAAAGAGAAATCATAAGGGATTCAATAAGGTAAAACTGTTTACATTCTTACATGGCAAGATGATACAGGTAACTTCTAATAACTTCATCATTATTAAGCATTTAGAAGGTGGATTGTTGTCCATCTTTCTTAAAGAGGACCAAAGTGACATCACTATGTTAGAGTCAAGTTACAATGTGTGTCTGACTGTGGCTGATCAGACCAGTATAAGCTTCGAAGGCTCTATCATGGGTCAGGCACAAATAGTCCATGTGAACATCTGGAGTGGATTCTTTAAATCTGTACCTCTTGAGTTTCTTTTAAGCTACTTCAATTCTGCTTTGCTCATAGAGGACAGCACCTTCTCTGATGTGGGCATGCCATGCTGAGCAGTTCTTTGCCAGTGTCTCCCACGTCACACAATTAATTCCAAAGTTTCTAAGAGAGACTGTAAGAGTATCCTTGCATCACTTCTTCTGATCACCATGTGAATGCTTGCCCTGTGTGAATTCTCCATTAAATCATGTTTTAGGCAAGCATATGTTTGACATTTGAACAACACGGCCAGCCCATTGAAGTTGCGTTCTCTGCAGTAGTGTTTGAACACTTGGCAGTTTAGTTCAAGAAAGGACCTCAGTGTCTGGTATCTTATCCTACCAGGTGATCTTCAGAATCTTCCTAAGACAATTCAAATGGAAGCAATTCTGTTTCCTGGCATGGCACTGGTATACTGTCCGGTTTTCACAGGCATACATAGACAAAGGGCATGGGTGTGAGTTGACTATGATGGGATGTTATCTAAAAAAAAGGAGTGAGAAAAAGGAATGCACTTGGAGAAGGGGAAAGGGAGAGGTAGAATGGGGTAAATTATTTCACGTAAAAGAGGTTCAAAAGAGCTTTTACAGTAGAGGGGAAGGTGAGGGAGAAACATTTGAACTTTACTGTCATTGGAATTGGCTTAAAGAGGGAATAACATACACACTCGAGCATAGAAATCTATCGTACCCTACACGAAAGTAGGAGTGGAAGGGGATAAGAGAAAGGCTGGGGGTGGATAGGGGAAGGCAGTATTCAGAAGCAAAATCTTTTAAGGATGGACAGGGTGAAAGGAGACAGAGTAGGATAAATGGGGGGGGAACAGGATGGAGAGAAATACACAGCAGTCATAACAGAAAAGAATTTTTACAGCAAGTTTGTTTGATAAAGGTCTCATTTCTCAACTATATAGAGAACTGAGTCAAATTTATTTAAAAAAAAAAAAAAGAGCCACTCCCCAGCTGACAAATGGTCAAAAGATATGAACAGGTAGTTTTCAGACAAAGTAATCAAAGCTATCTATAGTTACATGAAAAAAATGTTCTAAATAACTATTGATTAGAGAAATGAGAATTAAAACAATTCTGAGGTGCCACTTCACACCTATCAGATTATCTAATATGACAGAAAAGAAGTAAGAAAATTGAGACACTAATGTACTGTCAGTGGAGTTATGAACTGATTCAACCACTCTGGAGAGCAATTTGGAACTGTGCCCAAAGGGCTATAAAACCACATATCCTTTGACCCAGGAAAACCACTACTCGGTCTGTTTCCCAAAGAGATAAAAAAATAAAAAGGAAAAGGACTTATATGTATAAAAATATTTATAGCAGCACTTTTTGTGATGGCAAAAAATTGGACATTGAGGGAATGTCCATCAATTGGGGTGAATAAGTTGTGTTACATGATTGTGATGCAATATTAGTGTACTATATGAAATGATGAGCATTCTCAGAACAACCTGGAAAGATTTACATGAACATTTTCCTGAAGTAGCTCAAAGATTTTTGTAGCAAGGCAAATGGAAAGGGAGCAAAAGTGCCCCCTTGAACCCTAAGACTTGGTTGGGAGGCACAAGAGGGAGCAAAAAAAAATAGCTACAAGCTATTCGTGATCCAGCCCAAGATTAAAAGAAAGATGTGTTCCCACAACCACTTGGAAAGACCTCTTCAGTGGGTGGGGCCATGGGACCCAGGTGTAAAAATAACACCCTCTGTAGGGAGACCTAACTAGGCCGGAAGCAATCGATGCCTTGCAGTCAAAGAAGAGCCTTAGCATGGAATCCTGGTGTAATCCCTCAGCAGCCAGCAGCTGCTCAAGAGTTGGCCCTATCTGCCTGAGGCCAACACTGAGAAGAATTTGTGATAGGAAATGGACAGATGCTAATGAAAAATTAGCATGACACAGAGAGCAGGTCACCAGCAAAGACAAAGAATAGTACAGAGCACTGATGTGGAGGTGTGAACTATGACCTTTCCCCCTTCCTGGGTCCCATCCAGGATAATACTGTAAGTTATGGGGATTGTATAGGTAGGTCACAGGAGTGATTAACCACAGATGGGAGGCAGAGGAAGGGACGCTCTTGGATTTAGACTCCTTTCTGTGTCTTTTAGTGTGTAAATCACACTGTTGTATGTTTTGGCCCTTGTGAGGGAAATTGATAGTCACCTTCAGTAGACTTCCCAGTTCTGATGCTCCCAAATTTCATTCAGTTGGGGTCAGGAAACCAGATAAGGGAGAGGTCTCTAACCTGTTCCTAGGCCCTTCGTGTCATCAGAGGGGAGCCTCTGACCTAAGGTGCAGCTTAAGACTCTTAACAGGATGTTTGAAAAATGTTTGTTGGATGAATTAATGAATGAATTACAAGCAGATTTGTTTTTCAGAATGAAAAGTCTTAATTTCTTCTCTTATTCCTCCAGTTTCCCAAATCCTCCTTTGTTTCAGTGGAAGACTCCAGATCATATCCTCTAAACCCCCAAAATAACATTTATGGATTCCCCCAACTTATTTCAAGCCACAGAAGCTTCAGGGACAAATACATTTCAGAAATAACTGGTCCAGTTACATTACCCACCCAATCTGTAGTTACTGATAAAGGCTTTTTATAGAAATAAACTCACTTGGTGTACTCATGTCTAGTTGAGTTTCTCCTGCCTCAGTTTCCTTTCCTCAAAACTTCTTAGATTTCTCTTTATGGCTGCATTGATGCTGTACTCAGGACTGCAGGGCACAGAGCAGAACCAGGGTTAGAAGCAGCAACATCTATTCCACTCCTGGTTTTGTCTACTTTGTCTTATATCTCTCTGCCATCCCACCCCCACCTACCCCCCACCCCTGGCTCAGCCCCAGGGAGGCTGCTTGGGTTGGTGGGAAGCAGAGTCAGATGCCTCCTTGAGCCGCCCAATGGGCACCTTGGTGATGGGTTTGGCTACTGGTGAATTTGGACATTTTAATATTTTCTCATTTCTATATATTAATTTCTATGGTCACATACATATAATTTATGCTTGCTAGTTAGTTTTTCCTCTTTTTCTTTTCTTTAAAAATTTTTTTCAATGAACAGGTGTTTATTTTCTTTCCTCCCACACCTTCTCCCATCCCCCACCCCAACCTAATTCTCCTCAAAGAGGGGAAAGTGATAAATATGGAGTTGGAATCCTGTCCTGATACTTACTAGCTGAGCTACCTTGGTTGGATAAATCTCTTCCACTTTTGGAATCTCAATTATCTATCTCATCTGTAAAATGCAGAGAATGGATAAGCTATTCTCTGTGGTGCCTTCCACCTCTAGATTCCAGAGAGCCCATAACCATGGAAGAGAGAAATGGCCCCTTCCAGTCCTAACATGCTATAGTTCTGGGGTTCCAAGATTCTCCTCCTAAGCTCGGGATGGGGCTGATTTGTTGGAGACTTTACTGCATACGGCAAGGCTGGCTCCAGATCTCTTGTTCTATTGGCTAGGCTTCTGTCCTCTGGATATTACATTAGGCAAATTAAAGTATCACAAGATGTTAAGAGTTAGAGGTCATCGATTTAGAGCTAATCTTGGAATCAGAAAGACCTAGGTTCAAATACTACTTCTGAAACTTACTCTGTCATGGGAGGGAAGGAGGGAGGGAAGGAAGGAAGGAAGGAAGGAAGAAAGGAAGGAAGGAAGGAAGGAAGGAAGGAAGGAAGGAAGGAAGGAAGGAAGGAAGGAAGGAAGGAAGGAAGGAAGGAAGGAGGAAGGAGGGAGGAAGGTGGGAGGAAGAAGGGAGGAAGGAAGGGAGGGAGGGAGGAAGGAAGGAAGGAAGGGAGGAAGGAAGGAAGGAAATAATCATTTATTAAGGGCCTACTACATGCCCAGCACCATGCTAAGTGCTTTCCAAATATCTTACTTAGTTGACCCTCACAACAACCCTGTGATGTAGGTACTGTTATTATCTCCATTTTTACAAATGAGGAAACCAAGGCATACAGACATTTAGTGACTTGTCTAGGGTCACCTATAGTAAGTGTCTAAGACTGGATTTGAACTCAGTTCTTTCTGACTCCAGGCCAGTGCTCTGTCCATTGTACCACCCAGTTATTTCTAGGTAGGTATCTATATAACCCCAAGATTACACCCTTTGCCTTTTTAGATTAGAACTAGGAGAATGAACCACTTAGAGAGATTCATCATTTCATTGAGGAAATAAAGCATCTACACGTATCAAAAGATACCTTGTGTGACCTTGGGGAAGTCATTTTTCTTTCCCGGGTCCCCATTTCCCCATCTGCAAAACTGCTCATTGATCTTTTTTTCTTTCCCAGACCACTGTAGGCAGCTCCCCATCCACAAGTGTTTTGGAATTTATAGTCTTAGAGAGTTGGCCATGGCCCTGAGAGGTTGGGTAATCTGTCCAGGGTTACACAGGCTTTATATGTTGCAGGTGGAACTCAGAAGCCCAGGACTTCCTGACTCAGCCCTCCCCACTATGCCAGGCTACCTTACCAACTGCAAAATAAGGGGGCTAAACCATCGATTCCTTAAGTCCCTTTCCCGTGCTGGGTTCTATGATCCTATAAATTAGTAATACAGGGTAGGGTATAGGGTATAGTTCAGGGTAAGGAAGGGGTGGATCTGGTTCTTTGGCAAATGCTGGTTATTGTTTGTTGTTGTTAATACTTAGAAGGGAATAACTGTTCATAGGAGGTCTCAGCTACAAGAAGGGGTGCGTGACTCCCAGTGGGGCTGGCCATGTATATCCCCCCATTCCTGGGGCTCAGAGCCCTCAGTACCTGTCTGTCCATAGGATGCACCATTGGGTCCCTCACTGGCCAAAAAACAACATGACTGGAACACCTAGAACCTCAAGACGGTTCTCCCTTCCACCAGCTTCGCTCCCTTCACAGGAATGCTGGGGGAGGCGAACATTCTCCCTCCTGAGATCTGGTCACTGCTGGCTGACAGATGGCATCCTGGTAGCAAGAAGGCTGGCCACCTCCTGACCTTCGAAGAGGAACTCGGACTTCTCAGAACTCTCCTGGCCAGCCAGCACTTATGACATCACTGTGGCCTTTCTCTCCCCAGCCTACCCCATAGTGAGCCACATGCAGCCCGAAGGGCTCGAGGCCTCCACAACAGCCCCTTGGAGCACTCACAAAAAAGACCCTCTGCCTTCCACAAGGTAACTATTCCTGACGAATTTAAACTTCCCCTGGGTCACATGTGTTTAATGAGAAACAACATGGTAAATAGAAAAAACCCTGGACTTGGAGCCAGAAGAGTTTGAATCCTGACTCCCTGTGTATCCTTGGGCAATTCACGCATCCCTCTTTGGGCCTCAGTCTTCTCATCCATAAAAGGAGAGGCCTCTAAGCCTTCTAGTTCTAGACTCTATGAATGAAACAGGAAGTCCTAGGCCCAATGATTATTGCTAAGATAAAGACAAGATCTAAGATGAAGGTTAACTCTAAGATATTGGTGACAGGTGTGTAACTAAACTGTGAGTAAGGTGTAAATCAGGTGGCCTGCACCGTGGAGGCATTGCCAGGTAGTGGGAGAGTCAGAAGGCCTTGGATTCGTCCCAGTTCTGCCACTAACCCACAGTGTGATCCTAGTCAAGTCACTTTCCTCCCCTAAGTGCATACAAATTCTTCCCTGTTGGGTTTCCCAGTAGAATTATGGTCTGAAGAGCTGGGCGGGATGGGGAGGGAGAGGTAAAAGGCAGAGGGAGTGATTCTGTGAATAAACTGTATTCATATCCCCACAAAGTGAGCCAAGCTCCCCACATGCCCCAGCATCAAGGGTGAGGCTGACTCCAATCTTCGTTCTTCAGCTCTTCACCCCCTCACCCCTTTGGACAACAAAAAGAGACCCAAAAGGGCTGGAGGAGAATAAGACTGAAAAAGCTCTCCTCTTGACCTGGAGGGTCACTCTGGGACACGGCAAGGTTAATACCCTGGTGTTCTTCGCCTTTCCCAAGGTGTAGTTCCCAAGAGATCATGAGATCATCAGATCCTGTCCTCATTTTACAGATGGGAAAACTGAGGCCCAGAGAAGGGATCTTATTTAGAGTCCGAGGTCCTGAATTCCAATCCTTACTCTCCTGCTAACCATCTGTGCATCTTTGGATAAGTCCCTTTTCCATGGGGGGGGCCTCAATTTTCTCCTCTAGCTTTAAACCCTTTGGATGCACAGTCCTTTTGTCCCACTTGTGTTATCACAGAGCTGTTGGCAAATAGCCAGCTTTTCTCCCCTATTAGCATTCAGATGCCATCCCAACAGATAGCGTAAGAGTCCTACAATTTCTGAAGTCTCTTCCGAAAGTCCACAGGCACATAGATAGTATGGCTGCTTGGGTCTGGAAACCTACTCTCTTTAGCGCTAGTAAGGGCTGGATTACATAAAATATAAAATAACAAATGTTTATGAAAGGAATGCAGGTTCCCAGGCTGGGCCCTGGGGGAGATAAAACATTTAACGAAAACCTAGTCCCCTGACCTCACGGAACTCACAGTCGACAGTAGTAAGGGATAAGACACCAGCATGATTCATTACAGTGCACGTATAAAGGGTTCTCTGTCCCACAGGGGCACTTGCTTCATGGGAGCCCTTAGAAACATACCTTCTGGGAATCACTCAGTGCGCTGTAGCGAGGTAAGCCACCGAGTGGTGCCCCAAGCCCTCAGTCACCTGTTCAGGTCAACAAGCTGCCTGAGTCCATCACTCACAGCCTTCTTTTTTATTACCTCGGCCCATTTCTTTAAGGGATCGAAATCATGAAAATGACTCATAAACCTCCCACATCTTAGTCCCTATCCCACTGAGATGTTCGTCTCTTAACCAACTTCCCCATTCCTAAAATACTCAACTTTTCCATCTCCACCTCTCAGAACCCTAAGATTCTGGTCTTCCTTCAAGGCTTAACTCAGATGCCACCATGAAACCTTGTCTGATCCCCTATAGTTTCTTAGGGCTCTCTCCCTCCTAGATTTCCTTTGTATTATCTTTGTTTGTGGGCTTCCTACCCAGGAGAATGTACGTTTCTTGAGGACAGGACCTTTTTTCTTTTTTCTCATTTTTATCTTATGGCAGGTTCTTAATAAATGTTGGTTGAATTGAAAGTCAGGGTGACATTGACCTGTGGAAGGGTCTTGAACGTCTGGCAAAGAACTTTAAATTTTAGTAAGTTCTATGATGTTGGCTATCCCAAAGCCCTGTGTTCTCAAAATGACTGTCACATACAAAAGTCAAACAGGGACTTCCTAATACCAATAGAATTCTTCTTAAACCTGATCTGCTCAGACAGTTCCTTGATGTTCAAGGCCCTCTGGAAACAAAGATATGGCCAAGTTCCTGACCTCAAGGTACATGCAGACTAAACTTGGCAAGAAAACACTAACCAGTGTGACAGGGACACAGGAGGGAGCCAAAGTGTTGAAGGATAATCTGACTGGAGAGAATGGACTGACAGGAATGGGCAGTACCCAAAGGAGGGCTTCTGTAGGAGGCAGAAACCAAAGTAGGCTGAGAAGAATTTCAGCAGTTGGAAATGAAGAAGCATACGTCTTCCAGCCACAGGGATGACTGTCCACAGACACTAACTGGAAAGGACCAGAAGATAGCATACCCTCCTTTTGGCAGGAGCACAAATAAGGCCCAAATAAGGTTGGAGAGGTAGGCTGAAGCCCGACTGTAGACTAGGATATGCTTCTTACTTTTATTTTTAACTGATTGATTGATGCAGAAAAAATTATATAGGGACAAGCTGATGAGTCTCCCAATCTATAAATGCACCAGTTAGTAATCTGAAAGTGGAATCCTCAGAGAAGGAGGCTTAAAGGGGAGGTCCATGAGGTCCTCCATTAGCCTGGAGTCACTGAAATTTTTTGAGCAGAGGAGCCGCATCGTTTGAGACCTGTACAGTAGGAAGACTCTTCTTGGCAGCTGTATGGTGATTGAATTGGAGAACAGAGATTGGAAGCAGGGAAGCTAATTAGGAAGTTATTACTGAGAACAGGCAGGAATGGTAACAAAGAAGTCCTAGTTAAGGATCAGTCCTGGTGAAAGATGATGAGCAACCAGCTTGGGTAATGACAGTATGAGGGGAAAGGGGCAGAGGTGAGAGAGTCAAAAAGAATCAATAGGAATTAATAACAGACTTGAGGGGGCGAGGAGAGGGAAACTCCTTCGAGAACCCAGAGAAGGCACCAAAGTTTTCCTTTAGGGGCCTCCCTCCCCCTTCCTTCCCTCATAAGGATCATCTATAATTCCAGCATCTGCTTTTTATGACCCTCTTGGGACATCGCTATGGTGAAGTCTCGAGCCCAGGTATCATTTTCTTTTCCCTGAACTACTCTCTTGAAGTCAAAGGGACACCTTCGGCTTTGCCCATCCTCTTCCTCTTACCTTCCATGGTCATTGTTGCCTAAGGTTTCCCCTCACTTCCCCTCTCACAACATCTACACTTTGGAAGGTTGTCCAACCCATGGAGCTAATAGATGGAGCCAAGACCAAGTGGGACTCAGTGAAAGCCAAGCCTGTAGGTATGTCTTTGGACGAACCTTAGAGGAATCAGAAGCCCAAGTTTCTTATCTAGAAAAGGAGAGGTGATAGGGAGGGAAGAGTGGATGATTCGGTGACCCCTAAGGTCCTTTCAGTTCTCATTTGCACATTCTCCATCCACAGTAGTTTCCATCACCAGTTCATTACATCCTGTAGCAATCATACAAACCATAGCACCTAATGTAATAGAGCATGGTAGAAGGAAGAGGGCAATACATTTGATTCTACCATCCCTGAAGATCATAAAATCCTTATGTTCCTGCTGTGGGTCATTCCTCTCTGGGATACCTCTCATATTTTAAGGTTTTTTTCCTCACACAGAGCTGAAACCTGCCTCTCTCCAACTTTCAGCCATTCTTTCTAGTTATGCCCTCAGAACAACAAATCTCATCATCTATTTCCTATGAGTTGCTCTTAACCGTGTTCCTGCCCTAAGTCTTTTCTTGTTTGGGCTGAACAGCCCCTGTTCCTTCAGCCAATCTTCATATGGCCTGGTCTCCAACCCCCTTCCCCTGCCACCCTCGCTATCAAGGTGACCCTCTTACAGCTTTACTACAGATGTTCAACATCCTTCCTAGAACAGAGTACCCAGACCGAACACAGTACTTTTGAGAAGAGAAGAGCAGGACCATCCCCCTCCTTCCTTCTGACCATTATTCCACTCAATGCACGCTAAGGTTGCATTGGTTATTAGGCAACTATGTCACTTCTGACTCATGTAGACTCTGTGGTCCACTAAAACCTCCAGATCTTTTTTGGGGGGAGGGAGGTGTCAGATTCCTGGGCTATTTAATTCATTTCTAAACCACTTGATTTAAGCCCCACACCTTTCACAAAGGACAATGTTTCACCACCTGTCTCACCCCCATCCTCCAACCTGTACTAGTGTAGTTGATTTTTTTTAACCCAAGGGTAAGAACTTTTACACTTACCCCAATTTAATCTCACCAGATTTGGTCCAAAATTCTAACTTGTCTTTTTTTTTCTTTTTAAGTTTATTTATTTTTAGTTTTCAACATTTACTTCCACAAGATTTTGAGTTCCAAATTTTCACCCCCCCTCCCCCTCCCCCCACCCCAAGATGGCATGCATTCTGAATATCCCTTCCCTAGTCTGCCCTCCTTCTATCTCTCCCCCACCTTCTCTTATCCCTTCCCCTTCTGCTTTTCTGTAGGGCAGGATAGATTTCTGTACCCCATTTCCTGTATTTCTTATTTCCCAGTTGCATGTGAAAACATTTTTTTTAAAAATATGTGTTTTTAAAACTTTGGGTTCCAAATTTTCTCCCTTCCTCCCTTCATTTAAAAGGCAAGCAGCTCAATATAGGTTATACAAAACACTTCCATAGTAGTCATGTGGTAAAAAACTAACTCTATTTCCCCTTCATCCTATCCTACCCCCCCATTTATTCTATTCTTTCTGTTGATCTGTCCCTCCTCAGAAGTATTTACTTCTCATTACCCCTTTCCCAATCTGCCCTCCTCTCTTATCATTCCCCTGCTCTCTTGTCCCCTTCTCCCCCTATTTTCCTGAGGGTAAGACAGCTTTCCATACCCAATCGAATGTGTATGTTATTCCCTCCTTAAGCCAAATCCTATGAGAATAAGATTCACTCATTCCCTCTCACCTTCCCATTTCCCCTCCACTGTAAGAGCCTTTTCTTTTCTGTTTTTTTTTGTGAGATAATTTACCCCGTTCTACCTCTCCCTTTCTCCTTCTCCCAGTATAGTCCTCTTACCCTTTATTTTTATTCTCCAGATATGACCCCTTCATCTTCAACTCACCCTGTGCCCTTCATCTATCTATCTATATCTATACATACATATAATTTTTCCCTCCAACTACCTTAATACTGACAAAGGTCTCATGAGTTACAAATATCATATTTTCATTCAGGAATTTAAACAGTTCAACCTTAATAAGTCTCTTATGATTTCTCTTTCCTGTTTACCTCTTCATGTTCCACTTCAGCTTGTATTTGAAAGTCAAATTTTCTATTCAGCTCTGGTCTTTTCATCAAGAATGCTTGAAAGTCCTCTATTTCACTGAATGACCATTTTTTCCCCTGAAGGATTATACTCAGTTTTGCTGGGTAGGTGATTCTTGGTTGTAATCCTATCTCCTTTGCCCTCCGGAATATTATATTCCATGCCCTCTGGTCCCTTAATGTAGAAGCTGCTAAATCTTGTATTATCCTGATTGTGTTTCCACAATACTTGAATTGTTTCTTTCTGGCTGCTTGACCTGGGAACTCTGGAATTTGGCTACAATATTCCTAGGGGTTTTCCTTTAGGGATCTCTTTCAGGAGGAGATCAGTGGATTCTTTCAATTTCTATTTTGCCCTCTGGTTCTAATATATCAGGGCAGTTTTCCTTGATAATTTCTTGAAAGATGATGTCTAGGCTCTTTTTTTGATCATGGCTTTCAGATAGTCCAATAATTTTTAAATTCTCTCTCCTGGATCTATTTTCCAGGTCAGTTGTTTTTCCAATGAGATATTTCACATTGTTTTCTAATTTTTCATTCTTTTGGATTTGTTTGACAGTGTCTTGATTTCTCATAAAGTCACTAGCTTCCAATTGCTCCATTCTAATTTTTAAGGAAGTATTTTCTTCAGTAAGCTTTTGGACTTCCTTTTCCATTTGGCCAATTTTGCTTTTTAGGGCATTTTTCTCCTCATTGGCTTTTTGGACCTCTTTTGCCATTTGGGTTAGGCTATTTTTTAAGGTGTTATTTTCTTCAGTATTTTTTGGGTCTCCTTTAGCATCACTCTCAGTTTTTCCTCCACTTCTCTTACTTGCTTCTCAAAATCCCCTTTGAGCTCTTCCAAGGCCTGGGACCAATTCATATTTTTCTTGGAGGCTTTGGATGTAGGAGCTTTGGCTTTGTTGTCTTCTTCTGGTTGTGTGTTTTGATCTTTTTTGTCACCAAAGTAAGATAACATAGTCTGACTCTTTTTGGGCTGCTTGCTCATGATCCCAGCCAATTACTTGAGTTATAAACTCTTTGTTAAGGTAGGAGTCGGTTTCCAGTGTGAGAATGTACTGTCCCAAGCTTCAGGTGTTTTGTGCAGCTGTTTTCAGAGATACTTCTAGGGACCTGTAAATTTTCAGTTCTTCCAAGGTGCTATGATCAAGGGTGAGGTGTTTACTCCTTTCCTGGCCTGTGCTCTGATCAATGAGTGACCACAAGCACTCTTTTCTGCCTTGGAACTGTGAGGAGGATTCTCTCTCTACAGCCACCACAAGCTCCACCACACCAGTGTTCCTCCTTGCCCCAGGACCACCACCCAGAACTGTGACCCAGATCCAAGCACAGGCAAAGCAAGAGAACCCTGCACCAGCAGAGAGATTCCTGCAATTCCCCTCTGATCAGCCACTGGATTCTGATTTCCCCCTCAGTCTGTGGGCCAGAAGCTCTGAAGGCTGCCCCTGCCCCGAGGCCATGCTCAGGGGATGGAGCTGACACCACCTCACTTCTCTATCAACACCATGGAAACATATTTTTCCCACTGACCTTCTAAGTTGTCTTTGGCTTTTGTGGGTTGAGAGGTCTGGAAACCACCACAGCTGCCCACAATTCAGTCCTCTGAGGCCTGCTCCAGGTTCCCTGTGGCCTATGTGCCCATGCCAAACTATGCTCCCCTTACAGCCCGGTGTGATATACCTTTCGGTCAGCCATCCAGGTTGTCTTGGGCTGGAAATTTGTTTCACTCTTTTTGTGGATTCTGCTGCTTTAGAATTTGATTAGAGCCATTTTTTATAGGTATTTGGAGGGGTTTGGGGGAGAGCTCAAGTAAGTCACTGCTTTCATTTTGCCATCTTGGCTCTGCCTCCCAACCAATTCTAATTTGTCTTGACCTTTTTTGGGAATGGTTGTTGTTAGCTACCTCCACCCCACAGCTCTGTCACCTGCAGACTTGATGATCAACACGTCTATGGACTTCCAATAGCACAAAGAGACATCTCTGGGATGAGTTCTTCCCTGTTAGGGGGCTCTCCATCAACTCATTACATCCTGGAACAACCATGCAAACCATGGTACCTAATACAATAGACTGAGCACAGGAGAAGGAAAAGGGCAAGGCAGCCGATACTAGAAGCAGATATAGAGATGAAAGGGACCTTCAAGGTCATACAGTCCAACCCTTTCACTTTGCAGTGGTGGAAACCTAGGACCAGTGAGGGTCTCTCTTCTCTGCTATTTACCAGCCGGGTGACTTCAGGCAAGTCACCTAACCTCTCTGACCATTCTTCCTCATCTGTAAAAGGAAGGAAGAAGGGTTGGACTAGATGATCTCTGAGGTCCCTTCCAACTCGACAATCCTGTAAAAAAACACCCAGGCTTTCCTCCAGAATAAATCAGAGGAGAGGGCCTCTGAACAGCCTAATGGAGTGCCCATTCCTGGAGGAAACTTCAGCTCCTTTGCCCCTGGCCGCCCAGACCCCTTTTCTTCAGAGCACTAGGTCAGGAGAGCCTCCCCACAAGGCACAGCCTAATTATTAATCTCCCCCTTGAAACCAGCTCTACTGCCTACAACTAATGTTACCTCTTACAAAATAGTGTTAGCCAAGTTCTTAAAAGGCAGGCCTCCTGAACCTTAGCAATGAAGTGAGAGGGCTTTTATTTTTGGCGTACGGGAAGACTGCATTGAGGAGGGAAGGTAGAAAGTCCACTATACTATCAGGTTTGATTTGACTTGCATGTTTCAATACATAGTACTTGATTTAGAAATTGGGTTCAAATCCCAGCTCTGCTATGTATTGCCCATGGACCAGTTTCCTTTCCCTCTCCGGCCGTTAGTTTCCTCATCTGTAAACTGATACAGTGGGACTTGGGGCCCCTCCAAAATATTATAATTCCCTATAACTGCACAACTGAACAGCAAAAGGCCAGTCACGGAGGAGGGGAAACAGAGTCACCCTGGTATCCATGGACTACTGAAGGGACATAAGGTGTCCAACATGCCAGGTGGCTACTCGGTAAGATTTATGAAAAAAAAATTAGTCAAGCATAGCCCAGGATGAGATAGCATGGAGGGTGTGACTTGTCTGCATGGAAGAAGCTGGCATGTTGGTGAAACCATGGATCCATCAAAAAAGGAAAGATGTGGGGAGCTGAGAAAGGAAGGAAAGCCTCAGGCTAAGCTGGAAAAATCTGTCCCTTTCTATTGAAAATCCAAGAGGATATTTGCCAGGATGCCATACACACACATCACCGAGAAATCTAAGGCTGCTGCTTTCAAGACAAAAGCTCCAACCAGAAAAGACAGAGACCGCCATGGGAACTTGTCAAAGAAAAGCTTTATTGATTGACAGCACTCGTGGAAAGTGGAGCCCAGTGACATCCGAACCCCACCATCCATTTCAGAGGATACAAGTCTCAGGTAATCTAGTCAAGGGCTGACTGCTGGCTTCCCGAGCTACCTGGTAAAGGCCGGCCTTATCTCCAGACAAGATCTCTCCAAATGATCAAGGCCCCTGCCAAGCCATCTGTCACTTGCTGATACAACTCACCGGGCCCCTCAAGCCACAAGTCTTTTAATTCAGCAAGGTGCCTCCAATTTGCCGGTCCCATGCTTTCACAAAGGGTACGGATGCCCTTACCAGAGCTCAGTCCAGAGTAGCGTAGTGGACAGTGCCACACTTGAGAGGCAGGTAGACCCAAGTTCAAATCCAACCTCAGACACTAGCTATATATGTCCCTACTTCAGTTTCCCCATCTATAAAATGGAAATAACAGCAGCACCTTCCTCACAGATGAGAGATCAAATAAGACAACCATTTGCAAACCTTCAAGCCCTAGACAGATGTTAACTATCATGGCTATGATGGTGCTCAGCCATTGCTGGTACAGAGCAAAGGCTGGGGACTCCTCTGGGCTCCTGTTACTTTGACAGGGCTAGAGAATCCAGGCACAATTTCCTTTCTAAAAATTTCTTCAACACCTTATTAGGAATCCATTGGACTCCATAAACCTTTCCTGATCATTAAATGGGGTTTGTAGGTGAAGAGCTGAACACCATCCCATTTAGCCCCATCATTTTAGAGTTGAGCACTGCTAGTATGTGTCAAAAGCAGGGAAAAGTCTCCCACTGCTCTACTTGGAACTGGAGTAGGAAAGGGAGGCATCATGCTACAGTGGAAAAGGAGCAGGGGCTTTGCAGTCTGAGAACCTGAGTCTGAATCTCGCCTCTGCCCCTTACAACCTTGTATCACTTTGGGGAAGGTACTTTCCCTCTCTGGTCCCCAGTTTTTCTTTATCTGAAAAATGATGGAGTGGGAGGAGTGGTCACCAAAGGTCCTTCTAATTCTAAATCCAAGATCCTATGCAAAAATCATAACCTATACAAAGCTATCCCAACCTGGAAATCCCACTGGCTGCTACCCTCCTGAAATGGCCCCTTATTCCATGCTCTGCTTTGTCTTTGGCAGATTCCAGGAAAGCAGCCAAATCCCAGAACTGTATAACGGGGCCATATTAAGGGGGCAAAGGGCCTATGGGGGAATAAATTGCTGGTATCAGCTACCTACCCATGGTCTCTCCAAGATCATCTGGTCCCTGGCTTGGCTGTCACATTGACGTAGTAAGGCTGGTCTGGTTTATTAGGGGGCCTGGGCAGGGAGGGGGGAAGCCAGAAGGGCTGAGCAACCCACAAGTATATCAGTTGTGCAGACTGCAACCCAGTGACAGCCACCACCAAGGAAATGGAAGGAACACCCATCATGCTGGTAAAACTGGGGAGAGAGGGAGGAAGAGATCCCTGTTTGCCTGCTGGGATGCTTGGATGCCCCCCTCTTCCTCTGGATGTACCCTGAGAAAACTGGAAAGGGAGAGAGGTTTGTATGTTTAATGTCAAAAGTTCTCTGCTTGATACAAGAGGCCCATACCCACATCTCTACCCCCTCCTTGATGGATGCAGGCAGACAAGGAACTTGACATTCAGTGCCAAAAAACTTTGGTAAAGAATAAATAATTTATGTGCTCTGACCCATAGGCTCCCCCTAGGGGGGACAGCCTAAAAGAACTGAGGTAGCCGGGTCCACCCACCCAAAGCCCAGGTTCTCAAGCTCAGACCAACTGGACGGCTAAATACCCAGAAATATAATGGACAACATGTATACAAATAAGAATATTCTCTCTTTGTTCGCTCCCAGAGAAGCACGTCTCTCAGACGGACATGCTGGCTTGGACAGAGACATCAGCGCCAGTCTGTAGGATTGGAAGTGTTCATTGCACAGCCTACCAGGCTGGAAAAATTAAGTTTTACAAGGACGGGCAGCTTCTGGCTGGTTGGCCTGAAGCTATTGGTAGAAGCTCTCGATCTGTTCTTGGTACATTTTGGTCACTACGGGCCTCTTCACTTTTGTGGTGGGACCTGAGGGAGAAAAGTCAGACTGTGGCTTTCCCCCACCAACATAGGGGGAAGTTGCTGCTGGGGAAAGAAGAGTCAAGGTCAATGGTGGAGGGCAAGCCAGACTTAGGGCCAGGAGCAGATGCCTGGGCTCTGGGTCTCATAACCCTCCCTGTCACAGGGCAGGACTTAGAGTCAGGAGGCTCAGATCCCAATGCTGGTTCTGCCACCGACTGGGTGTGTGACCTGAGAACGCAAAGCCACATAATTTTCTCCAAGCCCGAGTTTCCTAATCTATAACATGGCAGCCTAAAAAGCCTCGGCCTGCCTTCACTGGGTAGGTGTGGGAAAAGGGCTTCTGTAAATTTTGGAGTGCTTAGTGACCGTGACTACAGGGAATGAAAGGAGCAGAGGGTAACCTAAGGCAGATGGGGAGAGGCAGGCTGGAAATGAGGCCCAACTGGATCAGCTATGGAAAAGGCGGCTCTCATTCCCCTATGATATAGGGCAATGAATGACAATAGAGCGGGTTTCTTCACCGGAGGTCTCGGCACCTTTTTTAATATTCTTTCATTTTTAATATTTTTAAATATCCTGGGAAGCGTACATAACTGGATGGCTTCCTTGGTAATCTTATGCATCTTATCTTGACGTACCAATGGGACCATAGGACCCCAAAGGGGTCCAAGACACAAAAAAGGTGATGAACTCCTGCTCGACAGACAGGAGACCTGGGTTCAAATCCCACCTCTGACAGTTCTTACTATCTCTCCCTTCACATCCCCAGTCCTCCAGACAGCTGTAAAGGTGGACTCCAAGGTCCCTTCTAGCTTAGTGACCCCACCCCACATGTTTTGTGTTGGTGGGGGCAAGTGCTTTTTCCTATTCCCACATATCCTCACTACTCCAAGCAGAGCCACACTGGGATTACAAGCCCTGAGAGATACCACAAGGAAAGAATGGAAGAAGCCATGCCCAGCTCAGGGGCTGTTCAAATTACTTGGGCTTGCTTAAGGAAACCTTATCAGAACTGAAACATCCCCAGAAACCCAACTTGCTCTTCCTCCACCCAATTCTTCTCCCAGAGATGTCAAGCCCTGCCCTGACCACCCCACCTTCCCTCCAGCACCAAGAACCCCATGCAACCTCCACTTACCCAACTCTCCACCAACAATGGAGAAGTCCTTATTTAATATCATCCATTTCTGGATCTTCTGGGCATTGGAGGTGGCCTCCTTGTTGACCGCATCAATGCCCTTCTTAATGGCTTCATAAACGAGGGGGTCTTTGCCATCTACAATATCTGACACTTTTTTTGACTTGCTCCCCAACTGCTGGCAAAAATCCAGGGCTTCAGGTGAAAGGTCATCTTGAGGCTCCCCAGTGGTTAGGTCGACCTGGCACTGTTGGAGAAGGAGACGCTAATGGCAATCCTCACCCACACTCCCGAAGTTACCCCAAAGGTCCTCAAGTAAAGATGTCAGTTTTGGGAGCCAGGGATTGGGGGGAATCCAAGTCTCAAAACCCGGCTGCCCCATGGAAAAACCCCCATGTCCCAGAGCCAAGGTTACCTTAAGGGTTAAGAGCATGCTGAGGAACTTGGCCTTGTCGCCCACCAACATGGCAAAGCTGATGATTGGAATCTTCTCCTTGACCAAGTCCTCAATGGGGACAGGCGGGATGTTCTCCCCCCCAGCGGTGATGATGAGCTCTAGAACAAAGCAGTGGGTCAGCGGGTCCTTCCAAGGTCCACAGAGCCAGGACCAAAGAAACATCTGCTGCATAGAACTGAACTTCGATCGAAGCCATGAACCACAACATCCGTCACTGTCAATAGCTAGTATTTATACGGCACTCACGATGCGCTCTGCACTTTACAAACATTCTCTTATTTGATCCTCACAATCCTGTGAGGTGGTGCTATTATTATTAACTCCATTTTACAGATGAGGAAAACTGAGGGAAATAGAGGTTAAATTACTCAGCCAGGGTCACCTAGCTAGTGTCTGAGGCCAGATTCAGGCTCAGGAGCAGCTAGGTGGGCCTAGAGTCAGGAATACCTGAGTTCAAATGTGACCTCAGAGACACTTACTAGCCGTGTGGCCCCGGATAAGTCCCTTAACCTCTGTCTGCCTCAATTTCCCCAGCTTTAAAATGGGAATAATATCACTTACTTCCCAGGGTTGTCATAGGGATCGAATGAAATATCTGTAAAGTGCTTAGCATGGTGCCTGTACAGTAGGAGCTCAATATTTCCTTCCTTCCAATCTTCCTTCTTCCCTTCATCCTCCCTTTCTCTCCTTTCCTCTGTCCCATTCTTCCTTGCCCCCTTCTTCCCCCGCCCTTCCCTCCCACAGATCACCTTTGATCCTGCCTGTGATGTAAAGGAAGCCATCGCTGTCCATTTTCCCAAGGTCTCCAGAGCGAAGCCAGCCCCATTCGTCAATCACCTCCCTGGTCTTGTCTTCCATGTCCAGGTAGCCCATGAAGACATGGCGGCCCCAGAAGCAGATCTCCCCGACAGCCTCATCGTCCTTCTGTTGTATCACGTTCTTACAACCATGCATCACCTTCCCACAGCTGGGAGGACAGAGGAGCACACGTACAAACAGTCAAATCACCAGGTCTGCAGAGAGGAAGGCAGGGGAGTGAGGAGGGCTGTGGGCCTGAGTCGGAAGGGATGGAGGCCGATCCCAGCTCTGCCATTTACCAACCTGTGACCCTGGGGGCAAGGTGATTTTCCTCTACAGGCCTCAGTTTCCTTTTCTCTAAAACAGGGACAAAAATACTTTCTCCCAAAAATGCTGTCAATGCTATATAAACACTAAAGCTTAAGAAAAATGTATGTTATTATTCCCAGACGCAACGATTTCAATGGTGGGTTAAGGTTAACAAGGAGCTTTCTGCTACATCTGATGAAGTAGGTAGTATAAAAATTAATACTCACTTCAGAGATGGGGGAAACTAAGGCTCCAAGGTTACGGGACTTGCAGAGAAAGCATCCAAGCCCAGATTCAGATGCAGGGTTTACCTGACCCCAAGTCCAGTGTTGTTTTTACTACAATACGTAACCAACCAATCAATACACATTTATTAAGTGCCTATTATATGCCTTACCAGGAAGAGCACAGTGGAGCTCAGGAATCTAGCCTTCATCTCACACCCTTCTTTCTCCCCTCCTCCAGGACATGAAGGTAGTTCTAATCTACACTGGTCACTTTGTTGAGGTCACTGACGGGACAAGTATGCCAACAAGAAACCAGAAATGTGAGACCCCGGGAAAAGTACCGAGCGAGGTCCCAGGAGACAGAAAGGACACCCAAGGAAAGGGTAATGTTTGCTAATCGCAAGAGAGAGTGGAAAAGAGTGCTTTACTGCATGACACGAAACTAGGTTGAACTCTGAAGATGGGTGGCCAATGTCAGGATTCCAAAGGGTCCCAACATAGTAGACTGAGAGCCGAAATTTAATATGGTGAAACCGGAGGGGGACAAACCTCAAGTCCTACACTTGGGTCCATATAATCAAGCATCTAAGTACAGGATGAGGAAGATTTGGCCAGACAACATTTCCTGGGAAAAAGATCTTGCAGTTTGGGTGAACCTATTAACCCCAGAGTCAAAAGAGCTAATCACCTTAACCAACTAAAACAGATCAAAAGTGAAAAGAAATGAGATCAATTTCTATACCTACAAGAATATTATGGAGAAAAACTACTTTGGAAAACTTTAAAACTCTGAGCAACCCAATGATGAAATGAGAACCCAAAAGGATGAAGATGTAACACACCCCTCACCTCCTGACAGAGGCGACCTTAAAATGCAGAAACAGGCATGTGCTTTCAGGCATGATTGATGTAGGAATTTGTTTTGCTGGATCATGCCACAATGTATAGAGAGCTTTTTTCTTTTTAATATGCCCAACTGAGGGAAGGCAGGAATAGATTAATTCTTTTCATTGTAAATTGAAAAATAAAAATAATAAACTATTAAAACAAATGGGAAAAAACCCCACAATTTTCTTTTCAAAAGAACTAAAGAGGTCTTAGGCTAAATTATGAGATGACTCCATTATCCTCTCCCCAGGTCAGACCCCTTCGGATATCCCATGTCCAATTCTGGCCGCCGCATTTCAAGGAAGTTATTCGTCTGGAGAGGAGAAGGGCTGGAAAGCGATCAGACTCATTCTCCAGAACTAGGAAAAAGGAGAAGTTGGAAACACACAGAGCTGAATGTCTATTTGCAAAGTAAGCTGCGGAAGGGATTCCTACTCGGGGGATGCCCTCTGAGGTCGCCGCCAGCTCTGATGCCAGACTCCCATTTGGAAGGCAGCCAGGTGATGCAGTGGATAGAGCTCCAGAGGCCTGGAGTCAGGAAGACCCGAGTTCGAGGCTTGCCTCACACACTTACTAGCTGTGTGACCCTGGGCAAGTCACTTACTCATCATCACACTCAGTTTCATCTATAAAATGGGGATAATAATGACATCTATCGCACAGGGTTGCCGTGAGGGTCAAATGAGATAATGTATGCAAAAGGCTTCACAACCATTAAAGTGTTGTAAGAATCCTAGTTCTTTTTCTGTTTTTCTCTGTAACTTCCTTATCCCTAGTCCCAACACTACATGACTGGGTTCAGTGATAAGGCCTTGGCATGTTCCCTCCATCCTAACACCCGGCTTGGCACCAAATGCTTGTCATTGATGGCGAACAGAAGGAAAGGGACACTAGGCTGAAGAGAAAAGATTAATATGAAGTTTTTTTAAACAGTTTGTTTTCAAAGGAAGGCACCTCCTAGGTCCCAGCTCTGTCATCGAACATATATGACCCTGGGCCTCAGCTTCCCCTCTCTTTAAAAAAAAAAAGTCAAAGGAGAAGGTTAGAGTAAATTACCTCTAAGGTCCTCCTTGCTCTGATATCTTCTGTGTTCTAAGTTCCCCTGGTACTGATGTCCTGCATTCCAAGGACCCTCCCAACCCTGATATAGTGGGCTCTGAGGCCGCTCCCAGCCCTGACATTCTATGTTTTGAGGCCCTTCTCAGCTCTAACATCCCGTGTTCTAAGGGCCCTCCCAGCTCTGACACTCGTGTTCTAAGCGCCCTCCCAGCTCTGACACTCTTGTGTTCTAAGCGCCCTCCCAGCTCTGCCATCCTATGTTCTAAGGGCCCTCCCAGCTGGGCCATCCTATGTTCTAAGAGCCTTCCCAACCCTGCCATCCTGTGTTCTCAGGGCTCTCCCAGACCTGAAACTGTGTCCTAAGGGCCTTTCGATAATAGTAATAAGCTACTGATAATTCTATTACACCATCAAGTTTGCCAATGCTTGACCTACGCTGTCTCCTTTGAACTGCCCCCCTGCACCATGATACTGGAGGCTGAGAAGGGATGGACAGAGAGCCATGAGAGAATGTTGTCCCAGAAGTCACAGGAGGCCCTTCCCATCCAGACATGCTGTGACTCTTAATATCCCACCACCTGCCTTTAGGTACCTTTTCCTTCTCAACCTACAGCACACAGGTTTGAAAGCTGGATGGAGAGGGGCTTCAGGGCCCAAGGTCACTTGCATGGTAAGGGGACATTTGCTAAAGAGCTCAAGGTTGGGGCAGCTAGGTGGCACTGTGGATAGAGCACCAGCCCTGGAATCAGGAGGTCCTGAGTTCAAAGTTGGCCTCAGACACTTATTAGCTGTGTGACCCTGGGCAAGTCATTTCACCCCAATTGCCTCCCCCCTGAAAATAAATAAAATAAAGCGAAACCAAGATCTCTTCTTCCTTCTGGCTCCACTTTCACCACCACTAGTAAAGGCCCTCCCAGGAAAACATACTCACTACCCCTTCTCTCACCCCTCATCAGTATGAATGAGTCCAGGGACTGTCCCTTCAAGAGGACAAATGGCCTGTTAGGGTAGCCGGCCTGAATACCTTAGCAGCTTGAAGCAATCTCGGTGGGTGATCGTGTGGGGTCCCGAGCTCTCACTCATGCCGTACAGCTCACACACAGGAATGTCTAAGCTCAGGAAAAACTCCAGGGTGTCTTTGGTGATGGGGGCGGCCCCACTGAAGTACTGGACACAGCGGTCTAGGCCCAGGGCAACACGGACTTTGGAATACACCAACCACTTGGCCAGATGGTAGCTCAGGGAAAAATATGACTCCCTTTAAAAAGAAATCAAAACCAGGGCCTCATCAATGGTAAGGGCTTTGGGCCTGTAACAACCCTCAACCCCTACTGCCGGCCCCTTTTGCCATTTTTGTGCATTTTCCTCCAAATCAGCCTGTTGGGTAAGTATAATTATCCCATTTTACAGATAAGAAAACCTAGGCTCCGAGTTCATAAATAAGCGACTTTCCCACAGAGAGCGTCATTAAATGCCAGTTCTGGGATCAGAACTTGGGTCTAAATTTAGGTCTGATGTCGAAAAAGCTTTCTTGACAATTAGAACTCTCAATGATCTGGTTAAGGAGCATTCATAAAATGCTTGCTTTGTGCCAGGAAAGGGAAGCCAGTCCTGCCCTCAGGGAGCTTACAGTCTAACAGACATGGGTTGCTTTGGGAGGGAGGCAGGGAGGCCCCATGGCTGAAGGTCTTTAAGTGGAGGCTGGAATGTCACAGAGGGGGCTCAGAGCAGAAACCTTGGGATGCCTCTTCTAGCTTCTTACTGAAGAAAAGGTCACTCACACCAGAGGCCCAACCATGCTCTCCACTAACCCATTCATCTGTCTCACGCGCTTCTGAAAACCAGTGGCTCTGGCCCACGCGGCTATTTTCTTCTTAAATGTGGAAGAATTGGCGCTGGCTTCCTTCATCTTCTCCTGCATCTTCTCCCAGACCCGGGGCACTCCCAGGAAGGCCGTGGGCCTCACCTCTCGTAACGTCGTAGACAAGGTGCCCTGAGCCAACAGGAGAGGAGGAGAATTAGGTGTCTCTGATCCGAAGAACCAGCGAGGGCCAAGCCTCAGGGTTCGAGGGCCCTGGTGGCTGGAGAAAGAGCACAAGGTCTGCAGCCAAAGTCAGATCTTCTCTTTGGCCCTCACTAGCTGTGCGTCCTTGAACAAGTCCCCTAGCCCCTTCCAGTTCACTAATCAACAAGTATTTTATTAAGCACATGTCAGGCACAAAGGGAAAAGGTTTCTGCCTTTGAGGGGCTTGCGTTCTGATGGAGAGACATCGTGTATATAAGTATATCCTGAATGCTGGTCCTCAGTTTTCCCAGCTGTAAACTGAGGGGAGGTGGTCTCTAGGACCCCCTTCCACCATGATTCAGTCCCTGAACTCGTATGGAACAAAACCAGCAACTAGAGGAAAATCCTCCTTCCCGGACCTCCTGTCTCTGTAGAAACTTTACAACTTTGCATTGTGCCTTCCCCCAGAACCACTCCCTGAAGAGTCCAGATCCCTGAATTGTCTACACGGGAAACTCCCATGGGGAAATTCCTTCCACTGAAGCAGACCCAGATCAGCGGCTGGTTGGTAACATATCTTCCAGAGTTAGAGCTGCTTAGGGGCACCAAAGGGGTCGGTAACTTGCCTGACATCAGGTCACACAGCAAAGTGCCACCACCATGTTCCTGAGTTATCCCTGCAGCTGGGAAGGAAGCCGGCCTTCCAAAGCCCGAAAAGAGGGGTAAAGAACAGCGTGGCCTAGTGGGAAGCCCTCCAGGCCGAGGCAAGAAACCCGAGTTCTGGTCCTGCTTCTGCAAATGGCAAGGGGCTGCCTCGCAAGTGCCAGATGACCTTGGGCAGACTGCTTTTTCTCCTCTGGTCTCTCTTTCTATTCTAATAATTACTAGTATTTATACAGCGCTTGAAGGCTTGCAATGCACTCGATACATTCTGTCTTTTGATTCTCACAACAATCCTGGGAGGTAGGTGCCATTTTATAACTATAAAGGATAGATATGTTCTAACATGGCATACGGGTGTCACGTTACAGATGAGACAGCTGAAGCTGACGGTAAGTGACTTGCCCAGTTAAGTGTCTGAGGCTGGATTTGAACTCAGGTCCTCCTGACTCCAGGTTACCGCCCCACCTAGCTGCCCTATTTCTTCATGTGTGACACAGACAGTATTGTGAGGTAGAGACCCACCAACCACCCAACACAAGCCAGGATGACAGCTTTTTTGAGGAGATAAGAACTGTGATTTTATCAGGATAAAGACCAATGAAGAAAGCTCCTCAACCAGGGCATCCTGGATTCCTCACTACTGTATCTCTCACCTTCCACATCCCATCTACTGACAAGCCTGTCGATTTCACCTTTGGAACATCTCTCAAATGTGCTCCCACATCACCTACGCCTCGTAAGAGAATCTCTCTCTTCAAGATGCAGCTCAGATGCATCTTCTTCATGTGGCCTTTCCTGATGATTCCAACTGTCGGTGCTACCCCTCCAAACTACATTCGTATTTTTAAACTTGAAGTTGTTTACAGTTTTATATGTATGTTTTTCTCCCCCATGAGAAAGCAAGATCCTTGGTAACAGGGACTGCTTCATTCTCCGTTCTTACATTCTTCATTCATTTGTATGCCTAGTGCCCTAATAAGACAGTGCTGCAGAGGCACACAGTAGGTACTTAATACTTGTAGACTGATTCTCACAAAATAGTTTCGTAAACATTGGCTGAATTAAACTGAAACTGTATTATCAGACACTACACTCAAATTTTCATTCTTCACTTATAAAATTTGTTCTCCACCCCTCCCCCAAGCCCCATGCTCTGCCCTGCTGACCATTTCTCTTGATTTTTATATACACCAGTAGGCAACACCTGTGTGCTATATTCTACCGATGAAGAGATTGCCAACAATGATTAAGCTACTTAAGGCCAGAGTAAGGACCAACACCCACGTAGAGAGGCTATAGCTTTTTAGTCATGTCCGACTCTTGGTGATCCCATTCGGTGTTTTCTTGGCAAAGATAGTGGAGTGGTGTGCCATTTCCTTCTCCAGTTCATTTTACAGATGAGGAAACTGAGGCAAACAAGGTTAAGTGACTTGGCCAGGGTCACACGGCTAGTAAGTGTCTGAGGCCAGATTTGAACTCGGGTCTATTCTCCTCTGGTTGATCCCATAAATAATCACCATAAGCTTCCTAGGGCTCCTTCTCCTGGAACTCCCTCCCTCCCACCATTTTGGTTAAGGGGACTCTGGGTCCCAGCCACAGCCTGGACAGCCCATCTGAGGATTAGACACAGACCTAAGGCTGAAACCAAGGAAGGTCAGGACAGCGAACAATGCCTGGGTTTCTTGGTATTTCCTCCAGCCCTTAGCATACCACTCATAACATAGTGCGAGCTTGATAATAAAAAGCTCTTGCCAGTATAGGAACCAAGCCACCAGTGGCCAGGTGGGCACCGCATGCCTCCCAAATGCCAATGTCAAGCTACGGACAACAAACAAGGAAGACGAAAGGCAGGGCAGCAGGAGAGGTGCTGGGTTTGAAGTCAGACATGTGGATCTAGACAGAACCAGAGAAGAGGTCACTGAGTCCAACTCCTTCATTTTACAGAAAAGGAAACTGAGGCCCAGAGAACTGACCTGGTATGCCCAAAGTCACACAAGATCTAAGTATTAGCGCCAGAATTCAAACCTGAGACACTACTCTGAATCTGGTGCTCATCCATACAATCCAATTTACAAGAATTTATTTGGCTAATAATAATAACAAGGCAGCTAAGTGATACAACAGATAAAGAGTGCCAAGGCCTGGAGTGAGGAAGACTCATCCTCTGGAGTTCAAATCTGGCCTCAGACACTTATTAGCTGTGTGACTCCCAGCCAAACCTCAGTTTCCTCATCTGTAAAAAGGAAAGGGCAAAACCACTCCAGTATCTTTGCCAAGAAAACCCCAAATGGAGTTACAAAGAGTCAGACATGACTGAAACCAAAGAAAAAAATTAGAAAAGAGGAAATGCAGTGTAATGGAAAGAAAACTAGTCTTAGAATCAGGAAGTTCTGGGTTCAAGTCTCATTTCTAACAAATACTGGCTGTGTGACTATGCAAGTTACTTAACCTTTTAGTACCTTCCAGGCAATTTTTCAAGACTATAATCTGCAGAGTGAGTACTGATCTGGATAGGAAGAGTTTCCTCACAGAAATTTCCCTATACATATTAAAGGTTAAAAAAAAAAGCCCTCCTTTTGAATGACTGACATTTACATAATGCTTTAAAGTTTTACAAACCACATTACATATGTAATTTTTGTTTCAAATAACTCTCATAGATATGATAGATATTATTACAGTCTCTTTAAAAGCCAAGTGAAAAAAAAATAATTTCTTTTTGAAAAGCCAAGTGAAATGTTGTAAAATGCATACACACACAATTTGTACTGGCAGTTGAAAAATGTCTTCCTATAAGGTGCCTCTCTATGAAATGATGGAAAAAGCATATTTTTCTCTTCTGATTCACTATATAAAGTATGGAAAGAGATTATTAAAAGTGATTGCAGAGATGGGGGCATAAGTGTCTAAGTGCATATAAGAGTTTGGGTTTTTTATGTATTGACTGGTTTTGCTGATTTTTTTCTCTCTCTTCCTTTAAAAAAAAAAATCTTTCTTGGGGGCAGCTAGGTGGCACAGTGGATAGAGCACCGGCCCTGAATTCAGGAGTACCTGAGAGTTCAAATCTGGCCTCAGACACATAACATTTACTAGCTGTGTGATCCTGGGCAAGTCACTTAACCCCATTGCCTAGCCAAAAAAAAAAAAATTCTTTCTTATAAAGGATGACTCAAGGCAAGGGAAGGAGAGATGAGGAAGAAGGATAGATACCATGGGAAATACAGGCAATGTAAAAGCAAAAGATTGATATCTTTTAAAATTGCTTATCTTTCTAATCTTTTTAAAAAATTTTTAAATCTTTCTAAAGATTATCTTTTTTAAGATTGATATTTTAATAGATCTTTTAAGACATCTAACAAATTTTTACATGTAATTGGAAAAAAATAAAATATTTCTTAAAAAGACATATAAATCCAAAAAATAAGGGGATAGCTTGAGAGAAGCTCAGAACATTGTTTCTGTCATGGGCAGTAAGAGGCTAAAGAAGATGGAGAAAGGAAATAGAAAGTTTTTTTTCCCCAATGAAGCTGTTTTCAACTCTATCTTTTAATGAGAAGTTTTTAGGACAGACATTACTTGGTATCTTGAGGAAACCTTACATAAGACTGAGTTTTCACAAGGGAAGAGAAATGAACTGGTGTTAATAGTGACAGGTTATAAAATTTATTCATAAAAGGTATCAAGTCAGTGATTTTAATATTTATTTAATCATAGGAAATTAAGTCATTCACTACATAGAGAAAAAAATAATCACCACTGGGAAAAATAGCTTTTCTTCAGTTCATTAAACAATTAATATTTAGTGAACTGGGATATGGGCTCAAGCTAATTAATGAGAGATTACAATTTTATCAATGAGAAAGAAAATACCAAAAAACATATCCCTGGGTTTCTCTAGAGCTCTGAACAAGTTTTAAAAATAAATAAATCAAGTGTTAGGCTTAAGGGTGACTTTCAAGGTGGCTTTGGTTGACCCTATCTTACTCACTCTTTACTCTCATCTGAACCTTACAACAACCTCATAAGGTAGGAACTATGGGTATTATCATTATTATTATTATCATTATTATTATTATTATCATCCTCATTTTACAGTCCAGGAAATTGAGGCCGAGCTGAAGTCTTTCCCAGGGTCATAGAGCTAATAAATATCAGAAACAAGATTTGAACCCAGGTCCTTCCTGATTTCAAGTCCAGCACTTGTGAAAATGAATAGAGTGCTCAACTTGAACAAGGAAGACCCGAGTTCAAATCCTACACAGATATGGACAAGCTGTATGACCCTGGGCAAGTCACTTCATCCCTCTAGGCCTTAGTTTGCTCATCTATAAAATGGGGATAAAAGCATCTACCCCCCACAGGGTAGTTGTGAGGCTCAAAGGGGATAACTTATAGAAAATTTTCTACCAATTTTATAGCACTTTATAAATGCTTTTATAAGAGTTATGCTGCTGCTGCTGCTGTCACACCATGCTGCCTGCTATACTCCAGGAGCTGGGGTACAAGGACAAAAACAAACAGCTCTTGCCCTCAGGGAGCTCACATTCTACACTCCCTTTTTTCCACACTACTTCACCATTCACATCAAGCATAGGCAAGAACATGGCATAGTGGGAACAACAGACTCCAGAATGACAACTTCTGCTGAAGCCACCTAATGCTTATTAGCCACGTGACCGTGGCAAGACACGTGATCTCTCTGCCTCAGCTTCCTCATCTGTAAAATGGGCATAGCGCCTCTTAGGTCACAAGGTGTCATCAATGAGGAGTTTCCAAAGCTTCAAGGTAACAGACGCCAGAGTCATTATTAAGAGAAGGTAAGAAGCTCGCCAAGGGGAGGGGTGGGGAGTATCCTCTCAGGTTTCAGGCCTTACAGACCTAGAATGACTTGCAGATCGAGCACGGACGTGGTGGCGTCAGGCACCCGCTCTGTTACTTACAAAGCCATGCGTTCTCCCTTTAACCCCACAACTAAACACTGGGTTGACAGCGACCCAGACAGCACGCTGGACTTCCTTACCTTGAGGGCATCGGGCTGAGCAAAGTACGTGGTGCCCCCAATCTTCATGGGTAACCAGAGGTCCATCATCTGGGCAGCAATGTGGCTGAGGGGGAGGTAGCTCACCACAATCTCCTGATGCTCCGGGGGAGAATTCAACGTGAGGCTGCTCGTCGCCATGCTGGACGTCCACGTGATCTGAAAGACAGCCCCTTCTTGTAGACCTGGGGCAGGCAGCCGGGGGCCTGCTACCAAGGCACCTCCCCTTTACTCACGGTGACGTCTGTGTCGTTTCTCTACCAAACAGACTATAAGCTCCCTGAGGACAGGGATTATCTATTTCATCTCTACATCCCCTACAATGCCCCACACAAGGCAGGAGGTCTGATAAATGTCTGAAGAATCAAAGCATCTTAGAATAAGGATTCAGTTAATATTTACTACATCAATCATCAGCTCTTAGGCCAGACTAGAAACTGAAGCGTACTTTAAGGTCATAAAGCCTCGACCACAGCAATCACACGAGGAGTATCATCCCCATTTAACAAAGGAGTAAACCGAGGCTCAGATCTACTAAGGGCTATACAGTATGTACCCAAGAGGCTGGCTGTTGTCCTTTGTGCTCAAAGAGGACCAAAATGACATTGCTACATGGGGGTCAAGGCACAGTGTGTCTGACCGTGGCTGATCAGACCAATACGAAGTCGGAAGGCTTCACCACAGGTATGGTACAAATAGTCCATGTGAACATTTGGAGTGGAGATGTCTCTAAATTTGCACATCTCACATTTCTTTTGAGCTACTACAATTCTGTTTTGCTCATACAGCATAGCACCAGTGCCCAAATAAGTTACAGTCTCAAGGACAGAAGTCTAGACATAGGGCGGGGCACTGGGAAAGGCCATTTTCTGGAGATAAGGTTTGGGCCAAAACTAAATGGGAACAGAGTTGAGGAGAAATCACCAGGCCCGTGGCCCTGTGAATTAAGGGCAAACCCCTGGCCTGTAGGGTAAATAAATGCTTGCCTTCAGTCAACGGTGTTGAAGACACCAAAGATCTTCAGGGTAAGGACTGAGAATAACAGGAGACAATGGCTGCTAAAAGCAACAAATCAGGCTCCGTCCCTAGAGGGTGAAACATGGCTCTCCACCACCCAGTGGTGTCCTTCAGGGCCCCTAAGGTGAGGTTCTGCCTTAACACGCAGAATCACAGAAGCTGAGAGCTAGAAGGAATCCCCTCTGCAATGTCCTTCATAAGGGCTCTCTGCTTGCACACTCTGAGATAAACGACGCCACATGTTCTCAAGCTGGTAGAGGGGCGTGTCCTGATGTCACCTTCTACAGAGCTGACATGGGGAAGAGGAGGACACTCACGTTGTCGTGGCTGAGCATCACCCCCTTAGGCGGTCCGGTGGTCCCCGAGGTATAGATCAGCGTGCAGCACTGGTTGGGCTTCTGGGTGTCAAGGACCTCTTCCAGCTTCTCATCCGGCACACTCTCTCCCAGGGCCATGAATTCATCCCACTGTACCAGGAGAGGGGAAGGGAAGGCACACAGAGAGACGAGTTGTCAAAGAGAATCAATGTTATCGTGGCTCTGATGGATTTCGAGAAGGCATAGGAATTGGACTCTCCAGGGACACTGAGGCATGGGCTTCCTGGAAGTCATTTTTTACCTCCGGCTCAAAGCGTGCCTTATCTGTCTTCACTACCTTCCAGACTCAGCCCAGGAGCCCTTCTTAACCAGGACGCCAAGCTGGCATGTCCCTGAAGAGCCCATCAGTGCGTTCCAAGCCCTTCCCCAACCCCTGGAGCCATTGCTAGCCTTCCTCAAAGCCCAGTGCCACAGACCAGCCAAACGCAAAGATCTCTGATGCTGCTCACCTGCCATCCCCAGGGGCCCTGCTGACCCACCCCTCACCCCCTTGCCCCTTGAGCGAAGCTCATACTTACAGAATAAAGGTCTGGCCTCTTTACTTTGATCTCCTCCCTGTACTGGACAATTGCTTTCAGGTGACTTAATTTTTCCCTAACCTGAAAAAGAATTTGATTAACTCTCAGCGTCAAGGTCAGAGAGAGACACGGGATGCTAGATCATCTTATCTAACCCTTAAAATTGTTATAGCAGAGGGAAACTGAGGCAAAGAAATGTGATGATAGTGGCAGCTAGGAGTGGGGCTTGTATCTGAAAGAGGAGCCTAGAATCTCAGAACTGAGAGGGACCAAAGGGGTCACTTTATCCATCCTATAACCAATACACACAAGTCAACTGGTCTCTTCTGGACAGGGAACTCATTACCTCTCCTCACTGTAGATGTCAGTTTCTAGAAAGTGCTTCCTTATACTGAGACAGAATCATCCACCTCCCCCCAACTTCATCTGTCCAGATCCCCCACTCCCAGGGCACTAAAGACCAAATCTTCTCCCTTTGCCCTGATACCCCTTCATATAACTGAAAGCAATACTCATGTACCCCTACTGCCACCCCAAGTGCCCACTTTTTCAAGTTCGACCATTTATGTTGAACCTGGTCTGTCCCACCTTCATGATGCCGAGGCCACACAGGCCAGGAACTACTCAGCTGGCCCTCAGAAATCCCCTCCCAGGAGATCCCAGCAGACAGGATACAGAGCTAAATAAAATACTGGCCGCTGATGATGCCTGACCCAGTAAGACGTCCCTCTGTTTCAAGGGATGAGATGCTTCCTCCCTCCCTCCCTTTCCCACTGCCAACCAACAACCCTTCCATAAACATTTATTAAGTGCCTGCTATATGCAGGCACACTGGGTGATGAGGCCCCAAAGACGACAGTGAAACAGTCCCTACCTTTGGGCACCTTACAGATACACTCTCAGCCTAAGGAAAGCGAACTCTGGAGTGACGGGGGAAATACCCAAGGCCTAGCAATGGGCTATTCACAGGGGGGGTGTTTAAGCCATGTTTGTTCAATTGCCCCAAAGTCCCTTGTTGTTGTTCAATCATTTCAGTTGTGTCTGACTCTTCATGACCCCATTTGAGGTTTTCTTGGCAAAGATACTGCAGTGGTTTGCCATATCCTTGTCCAGTTCATTTGACAGATGAGGAAACTGAGGCAAACAGGGTAAAGTGACTTGCCCAGGCTCACATGGCTAGTAAATGTCTGAGGCTGGATTTGAACTCAGGTCCTCCTGACTCCAGGCCCAGGATTATATCCACCTAGCTTCCAGAAGGGGCATCAGAGGCCACCTAACACCAGACATAGTTGAACAGGAATCCCTCCTCCTTTCCCTCCAGTATGGTCAATACCCAGATAATCCCAAGAAACATGTCAATGTCAGAGCTAGGACACAACAGACAGAGCTGGACAGGATGGGATCAGGACGGGGAAGATCAGGGCTAGCAGGGAGCTGTGGGATCACAGGATCAGAACTCTGGGACTAAAGGAACTTCACAGACCATCCAGTCTGACCCTCTAAAGCCCTGGGAGAGGAAGTGACTTTTCCCAAGTCTTACACAAATGAAGAGCCTAGAGTCAAACCCAGGGTCTCTGACTCCAGTAGAACATGCAATGTCAGAGCTGGAGGGACTTAGGGACTGTCTGGAGCCACCCAGTGAAGGAAGTGAGATTCCCAATGAAGGAGGGACCTGCTGAAAGATGAATGACAAGCTAAAGGAGGTCACAACAGCTAAAGCCCACAGTGTTAGCGCCTGGCACGTGGTAGGCACTTAATAAACATTTATGGTTTAAATTAGCCGAGGTTGGCAATGACCACACAGACACAAAACTGCTACTGGAGGTTAAAGTATGATCAAAGTAAGGATATGACCACTTGTTCATGGAAGATAGGATAATGATAATAGACAATGGAAAGAAGGCAGAACCACTCAATCCCTAATTTGCTTCAGTTTTCTTTTCAGAGAAAGAATGTTCTCAGGCCTAGGAAGGCCAGAAAAAAATGGTTAACAAACAGCTGAAATATAAGGTCAGTAAGAAGAGAGGTGCCCTGGCTAACATGACAAAACAGGAAAATGATAAATGTTGGAGAAGGATGTGGGAAAATTGGAACACTAATGCATTGTTGGTGGAATTCTGGAGAGCAGTTTGGAACTATGCCCAAAGGGCTATAAAATTGTGCATACCTTTGACCCAGCAATACCACTTCTACATCTATATCCAAAGAGATCATAAAAATGGGAAAAGGACCCACGTGTACAAAAGTATTTACAGCAGCTCTTTTTGTGGTGGCAAAGAATTGGAAATTGAGGGGCTGCCCATCCATTGGGGAATGGCTGAACAAGTTGTGGTATATGAATGTAATGGAATACTATTGTGCTATAAGAAATGATGAGCAGGCGGACTTCAGAAAAACCTGAAAAGACTTGTATGGCCTGATGCTGAGTGAAGTGAGCAGAAGCAGGAGAACACTGTACACAGTAACAGCCACACTGCGTGATGACTGACTTTGATAGACTTAGCTCTTCTCAGCAATACAAGGATCTAAGACAACTCCAAAAGACTCATGATGGAAAATGCTATCCACATCCAGAAAAAAAACCCATGGAGACTCAATGCAGATTGAAGCTTACTATTTGCTCTCTCTGTCTTTTTGTTTGTTTGTTTGTTTCTTCTTTCTCGTGGTTCCTCCTATTGGTTCTAATTCTTCTTTATATCATGACTAATGTGAAAATGTGTTTAATATGAATGTATATGAAAAACCTGTAGCAGACTGCATGCAGTCTTGAGGAGGGGGAGGAGAGGAAGGAAGGAGGAGGAGAAAATTTGGAACTCAAAATCTTTATGGAAGTGAATGTTAAAAGCTAAAAATAAATTAATTACTTAATATTAAAAAAGAAGAAGAGAGGTGCCCTTAACGAATCTGGTGAATTCCACACATCAGAATACTGGAAGAACTGACATGTGACTGACTGAGCCCATCAGTGAACTCTAAAAAAATAATCTTAGCAAACAGAAAACAGTGGCACAGAACTGAAGGACAAAAAAATTGTTGATTTTCAGAAAAGGAGAGCAGAATTTTCAAACTATGGCCTCATAAAATGGACTTCAATTCCTAGCAAAATCCTAGAAGGCAATCTTAAAGAATGGATTGTGAGAAAGAGTAGCTCATGTTTCTACAATATTTTAGGGGCTGCAAAATACCTTCCTTACAACAAACCCCATGAGGCTTAAGGTGGTGTAACTATTATTATTCTCATTTCATAGATGAAAAAATTGAAGATCTGAGAGGCTAAAAGACTTGCCCATGACAACAGAGCTTGAAACTGTGGGAGGTGGAATTCAAACCTAGGTCTTCCAAGTCCAATACTCCAGTTACTACATCAGACTGCCTTCCTCTGGGAATCAATGAACACCAATGTGACTTCATTAAGCAAAATTCATGCCAGACTAACCTCATTTCATTTTTCAGAATTCTTTTCTTTTTTTTTTTTGGCTAGGCAATGGGGTTAAGTGACTTGTCCAGGGTCACACAGCTAGTAAGTGTTATGTGTCTGAGGTCAGATTTGGACTCAGGTCCTCCTGACTTCAGGGCCGGTGCTCTATCCACTGCGCCACCTAGCTGCCCCACCTCATTTCATTGTTCAACAGGGTACCAGAGTGGTAGACCAGAAGACACTTACTAGCTGTGTTTTACTAGCATGTCACTTAACCCTATTTGCCTCAGTCTCCTCATCCATAAAATGGGCTGGAGAAGGAAATGGCAAACCACTCCAGTGTCTTTGCCAAGAAAACCCCCAGGTGGGGTCACAAAGAGTCAGACACAACTGAACAACACAGTGACCATGCTCAGTAAATGCTTGCTAAATGGAAAATGCTTTTCTCATGGACAAGATGGAGGGATGTGGCTTGGACAGTAACAGAGTCAGGGGATTCAGAACTAGGTGAGGGACCAGACCCAGAACGGTCATTAAGAGCTCAAGGTCAAGTGGAGGAAGGCCCCTCCTGGAACTCTCCAGGCATCCATCTTTGGTCCCGTGTTCTTCAACAACTTTTATCTATCAAGCAGCAACAGCAGAGGCAGGCTGCTAATCAAAGCTGCAGATAATGGGAAGCTGGGAGAGGTTACTAGCATGTTAGGCAACAGGGTGAAGTCCAAATGAGACAAATCTAATGAAGTCAAACTTAGGGATAAACTCTGGGGTTCAGAGAATCCACTACTGCGGCAGAGAACAGAGGGGGTGGGTCCGACAAGAGGTCACAGCAGAAGGATGTGGGTGTGATCCGACTACAACCTCAAAATGAATCAAGAGGGAGATGTGGGAGCCAAAAAAACGCTCATGTGACTTAGGTGGTCCTAAGAGGGACAATGTCCAGAAGGAAGGAAATGATAATCCAGGACCTCGCTAACCTCAACAGTCACCCTGTCCTCTGCTCAGGTTAGATCATATTTGGAGTTCTGCATTCAGGTCTAGGTCCCATGTTTTAGGAAAGACGGATGATCTGAAATAACGTGTAGGATGAGGGAAACTAGGAGGGTGAAGTCCTAGAAAATAGGCTATAGAAGACTGGGTTGATGGAACTGCTGATGTCTGACCTGGAAAAAAGAAAGGGGGGATGCGACGGCTGTCTTCAAGCATTTGAGGGGCTGTCATGGGAAAGAGGGGCTGGATTCATTCTGCTTGGCCCTGGAAGAAAGAACTAGTTGCAATGGATGGGAAGTTGTAGGCCTGATGGAAGGAAAATCTCCCTAACAAATAAGCCGGATTCCAAAAATGGTCAGGGTTGTCTTGGGAGGCAGTTCTAAGCAAAGAAAGGCTGGATGACCACCGGTTGTTAATGTTGCAGAGGAGAATCTTGTCCAAGTATAGGCTGGGGGGTCTGCTATGTAGCACAGCTACATAGAGCACTGGCCCTGGAGTCAGGAGGACCTGAGTTCAAATCCAGCCTCAGACACTTACTAGCTGTGTGACCCTGGGCAAGTCACTTAACCCCAATTATCTCCAAAAACAAAATGAAGTAGAGGTTGGATTAGATGGGCTGGGGTCCCTCCCAGCTCTGAGACTCTAGAATTCTACCAGGTGACCCAGCACCCACAAAATCTAACACCATGGGAGCCCTGGGTCCCAGTCTGAAGACATCAGAACTACGCTGCCTAACGATTCAGGGCTGAGGTGAGAGGTACGTCTCAGGAAGAATACTGCATGCAAAATGAAGTGCGTAAGAACGGTGAGCAGACTTCCAATCATGCACATGAGAACGAGGTAGAAAGCTGCACAGGGGGCCTCTGGGAGCATAAACCCTTCTGTTTGGCATTTAAAGGACTCTGCCATCTGGCCGCAGCCCTCCTTTCCAGCTGTGTTCTATGTATCACTCCCCCGTCATGTACATGCACTCCAACCAGCCTGGCCTACCTACCATTCCATTTTCCATCTCTGTGCCATGGCAGAGGCTGAGCCCTCACCCACGAGGCCCTCCTCCTCCCCTTCCACACCTCTCAGACACCCTAGCTTCCTGCCAAGGTCAGCGTACGTACAACACTCCTAGCTCATAAGGCCTCTCTGGATCCCTGCCACGTCCACCCCATATCACAGCTGCTAGTGCCTCTCCCCTGTTGGGAACAAACCCCAAATGGTCTCATATTTACTCTGCGCATACTCTGTATGTGTACGTGTCCATGTTGTTTCTCGGATATAATGTAAAGTCCTTGGGGGTAGGGACTGTTTCTTTTTTTTTTGTCTGTGTGTCCTCAGTGCCCAGCACCTAGTAGGTGCTTAATAAATGCACCCTGACTGACTGATGCTGTAGAGAGGATTCTCATCCTGGTCCTTGTTGGGCAAGTTGTCCTCTGAGGCCCCTTCCAGCTCTGAGGTACGAGGGTCCTATGTGAAGTAGCCAGGACATAAGACGATGCTCTGCTACTTATCAGCTCTGTCCTGCGTTAATCACAAGCCCTCTGTGTTTTGGCCTTCCCAGCTGTACAATGGGGACAGTAATACTCATGCCAGCTTCCCTTTGAGCTTGCTATGAGGAGGGTATCTAACTGTAAGGCATTAGAAAAATAAGGGACAGCATTGTCAGAGGAAGGAAAGACTCCTACGAACAGGAAATGACTTCAGCTCCTACAGAGCAAACAGCTGAACCCGGGATGCGCTCTTAGGTCTCCCGCACTCCAACCCGGAGTTTTTCACTATACCTCACTGACACTCTGCTCCCACTTGAGAGAGGTCAGCACTTCAGAGGGGAACCAAAGGTACTTGGGCAAGGCCGGCCTCTGGTTACCTGGAGAATCTTCTGTAATTGTGTTTCATTCTCCAACACCAAGATGTTGGCCTGAGAGTGGTTAATGACATACTCACAGGCTTCCGGAGAATTGGTGCTATAAATGCCAACAGCCAGTCCCCTATAGAGAAAACACAAAAAGGACCTTAGTGTGGGGAGGCCTGGTACCTGCCCACTGTGGACCCTGTGGACCCTTCCCATGTACCCTGAAGACAATTTATTTATCTTAAAATTACACTATCTTGAATTTGAGTAACTTTATCCCCAAAAGAGGAAATCCTAGTTGTGTGAGAAGAGGCACTGCCTGCTAATTGTATTAAAACTTGCCCAACTGAAGGTGGAAGCGGAGAAGAAATCCTGTCTAAGTGGGCAAAAGACAGGAACAAACTATTAACCCCACTCCCTCCCCAAATACACACCCTTCCAACAACTACCTGGATTCAAACTCTGCCTCTCACTATCTATGTGACCTTGGGCAAGTCATTCATTTTTTTCTAAGCCTCAGTTTCCCCATCTGCAAAGTGGACTAGATGATCTTTCAGCTCTATATCGATGAACCTATGAAACTAAATTTTTTAAAATGCTCAAATTTGCTAATAGAGAATTCAAAGTTAAAACAGCTTGAGATATTACCCCAACCCACCCATAAAATTGGCAAAAGTGGAAAGTTTCAGTGTTGACAAGACTATGGGAAAAGAGGCATGGTAATTCACAGCTAGCGGAGCCGTAAATTGTTCCAACTGAGCTGGAAAACGATGTGAAATTCTAGATGAAAAACAAGATTGCTCCTATCTTCTGACTCAATGATTCCACTATTAATGAACTCCATGGAGGTTACTGACAAGAAAAAAAAATGCCTATTGGTATAGTCAAATTGTCCCTGCCTTGTACCCAATGATTAGAGAATGGCTGAACAAACCACAGTGTATGAACATAAGGGATTGTTACTCTACCACAAGAAATAAATGTGAAAAATTCAAATAAATGTGGGAAGACTTACATCAAACAATTATCAAATAAAAAGCCTCACATACACAATGCCAACAACTATATAAATTTTATACCAAAGACAAACAAAATAGAGATTTTAAAAAGATACTATGGATGCTAATTATAGCAGAAGCACACAACTTTCTTTCAACCAACAGTAAACTACCTTCTTGTAAGACTGCATGCCAATTACTCTTAACAGTTCTCAGGGACTTTGATTTTGTCAGGTTGTATATATGTCATAATAAACAGTTTCAATAAACATTTTTTATGAAGTACTTACTCTCTGCAAAATTATTCATAGTAGTTTTATATGTAATAGCAAAAAATTAAGTGGAGTGTGTGTGCAGGTAAGTGTGTGTGTGTGTGTGTGTGTGTGTGTGTGTGTGTGTGTGTGTGTATGTAATGACTGGGGAGGTGTTAGACGAATAAGTTAGGGTCTACAGCTACTTATAGAGTTTGGCTAGAGACCAATCTGATAGAACACATACAAAAATAACCATGCTTTGTGGAGCCAATAATTTCATTGCTAGGAAGAGGTCCTGAAAGTTGTGTTATCAAACCTTCCTTCTCCCCCTCCTGAAAGGGCTATTTGTTCAAAGGTTTTTCAATAGCCACGTTATTTGTGATGATAAAAAACTGGAAATGACCTCAATGTCAAACAAAAGAGGATTGGTGAATAAAGGCACAGTACACTAATATAATGAAGTACCATAATACAATATAAAGGCGTATGGAAAGACCTTTATGCAAAGTAGAAAAAGATCAGTCAGAAGAATTAAGTCCATACTACCTATGACACAAGAGACAACGAAGTTTGGGGGGGAAAAAAATCCTCATTTAGAGGAAGTAACTAAAATGCCACAAGCTTTTATGTGCTGAAATTCATTTCAATGTAAATGACTACCAAGCACTTTAATTAATCACTTTTATATAGTGAGCAAATTGATTAAAAATCACCTTTGGGCCAGGCTACAGCAGGATGCTTGGACTCTAGAACAGTGCCCTGTGGCCTTTCTGCAGGGGCAACAGAATGAAAGAAGGGTGGGGAGGGAGGAGGCCAAGAGACCAGGGGCCCATTCCCCCTCAGTCCAGATCATTTGGAAAGGCCTCCTACGTTAAGGACAGTAGTCCTTAGGGAAGTTGAGTCATGAACGTTTATAACTGCTCGTTTCTCAAAGGCTGAGGGCTAAGCCATCTTTTCAGGGAGTTCAGGAAGCAGAGTGAAGACCAGGTGGCAAGGGGCAGACCGCCAAATAACCTCAACGTTCTTTTTCAATCAGAGACTGAAGCACAGGAATTCAAGGGACCTCACACTTCGAAGCTGGTTTGCCGTTGTTAAGAGAAGACTTTCAACACCAAACAACAGGACTTGACCATGAGACCTAGTCTCCATCACTCTTGGCCAGCAGGTACCCGAGCTGTATGGACACCCTTACCCAGCAAAGATGGCGCCAACGTCGGCGATGAGCCATTCTGCAGAATTAAATCCCAGGATCCCCACGCCATGGAAGCGCTCAAGGCCAAGCTGGAGAAACACAGATACAGGGATCTTTATACAATGCAGCCCATGGACTGCAAAGGCAGGAAATCTTTATTTTCAGAAGTCAAACGAAACAGAGCCCTACAGATCTCTGCTTCCACCATCCACCCCTCTCTGCTGACACATATGACGCATTGTGCACGCTCACCTGGGGGACCTGTACCATGAAATCACTGAGTCACTCACCTAATTATGAAGTTCCTACAGAATGCAAGGCACTGGGCTCTGTGCAGGGGGAGACAGATAAAGGGCCTAGGGTTTGTGACCCCATTTGGGGTTTTCTTGGCAAACACACCAGAGTGGTTTGCCATTTCCTTCTCCAGCTCATTTGACAGATAAGGAAACTGAGGCAAACAGGCTTAAGTGACTGGCCCAAGCTCACACAGCTACTAAGTATCTGAGGCTGCATCTAAACTCAGGTCCTCCTGGCTTCAGGCCCAGCACTCTATCCATTGCATCAACTGCCTCCATGAAGAGTAGGTAGTAATTATATTAGGTAATAACAGGTAACAAGAAGTAATAATAGCTAACATTTACATAGCACTTTTAGGCTTGTGAAGCATTTTATAAATATTATGTCATTTGACCCTCACAACAACCCTGAGAGGCACGGGCTGTTACCCTCATTTTACAGATGAAGAAGAAGAGGTTGAGGATGGTTAAGTGAGTTACCCAGATCACACTAGCAAGGAAGTATCTGAGGCTACATCTGAACTCAGGTCTTCCTGACTGCAGGCCCAGCGCTCTACCCACTGTACCACCTAGCTGCCTGTCAAGAATGATAGTCCTCTTTTTCTGGATGAGGAAACCCAGAGTGAGCGAGTGCTGAGCTATTAAGATTCCCAGGTATCACGGGAACCTCTTCCTCTTGGCCCATGACCTTCTGGCTCATTCTCTCTTCCCCCTTTCCTTCCTGATTAGGTGACGACTGCCTACACCCACTCTCATTTTCAGCCCACTTGTCCTTTCCCAAAGGTGGGAGACCAGGCCCCATCTCTAATCCCTCGTGCCTTGCAGAGCAGACACGGCCACGGATACCGCTTGGATAAGCCGGAGGTCACCAGCTACAAAACCCTCTGGGGCCCACAAGCAGTGGGCCCTCCAGAGCTGCTGGCACTGCCATTGGACCTGCCCGGGTACCCTCAGCACCCCCAGGCCTTGCCACTCACTCTATGGCAGAATCTTCTTCCAGGAGGCACCGTGAGATCACGGCCTGTCTCATTCTTCTAACCGTGTGCACCCTGGCACTCAGCACAGGTCTTGGCATACGTGAAATGTCAAATCAATGTTTTTTCACTCATTCATTCAAGCAGCAGAGCTGGGTTTTGTGACTCAAAGCTCAGGGCTCTTTCCTACGTACCCTGCTACTTCTTTTAAATACTCAGCACTTCAGGCATGAAAAACGTTAGCAGAAAAAAGACACTTTTCATGGAACAGTCATTGATCCTTGTACAAGCTTGTTAAGAATGGTGGCTCTGACACCAGACCTAAGTCTTTAGGAAGGGGCCTAGAAAACAACAGGACAGTCTACTTACTACAAGGAGTCTGACTCCCTCATTTTACAAGTGAGACCACTGAGGCCAGGGAGAAGCAGCAGCTTGCAAAAAAGATTCACAGCAGAATCAGAACTTGGACCCAAGGCTACCAACACTCATCCAGGACACTTTCCCAGTACGGTGTGGCTGCCTCATTTCTGCACATCTCTAGGCAGATCCAACTATGAGAGGAGAAGAATGGAGCAGAAATTGTGTATTTTATTCTCAGCCTGGACCTCAGTTTTCCATCTGTAAAAGGAGGAGGCTGGGCTAGAAGACACCAAGGTCCTGTCTCACTCTGTCTGTGATGCAAGGGGAGAAGAGGTTATTTGCCATCCCATTACAGACACAGGTCAAAGCTACCCAGACAGGTCAGCTTCAGGTGCCCAGGCAAGTCCTACAAGCCCTAATGCTTGAGAGGTTTTCAGGCCGAGGAACATCTCATTAGAGCTCACAGAACAAAAACCAAAGTTCTAATATGGGCCCGGGGTTATCCTTCTTTGCTCAAAGGGAAACCCTGCTTTGTGTCTGATTTGTTTTGGAAACCTGGGTTTTCAAGGGGGATCCCATCACAAGAAAATGGGGGCCAAGGTGAACAGGCGTTGGCAGATCCTGAGATTTGAAAACCATAATGGAAAAATTCTCCTCTGGTCGGCCCTGGAAGCCCAAGATGACAAACTTCCTGAGGGCAGTACCAGAAGGCAATGAGGAAGACTCGGGTTTGAATCCTACCTTTGATATTAGCTGTATATACTTTACTTCACCTGAGCCTTATCTTCCTTGGCTATAAAAGGGTAACACAAGTGCTACCTATCTCATATGAGACACTCCTGCAATGAGCTAGGTAAAGTGCATGTTTGTAGAGCACTAGCTGAACACCAGCTGTTATCTTTATTGCTATCATCTCCATTTCCTGATCTGTGAAATCAGGATACTAGACTGTGAGGCTAGAGAAAGCTGAACTCGGGAGTCAGGAGAGATCTCAGTTTGATGCATGGCTCTGATAATTACCAACTGTGTAACCTGGGCAAGCAAACTACTTACTTAACCTCTATCAGACTTTACTGCCTCAGCTGTAAAATGGGAATACCAGTGCCCACATTGCCTCCTTTACATTCCATCATGATAGATAGTATCATTAGATGGTCTCTAAGACCCCTAGAGCCATGGTAGATGACATTGTTATATGGCCTCTAAGACTACTAGAACCATGGTAGATGGCATTATTAAATGGTCTCTAAGACCACTAGAACTGTGGTAGATGGGATTATTAAATGATCTCAAAGGCCGCCCTAGGACCACTAGAGGCAGCCAGGTACAGTGGAAAGGGCCCTGGACTTGAGAGTCAGGAGAATCCTGGCTATGATATCTACTAAGCTAGGTGACCTTGGACAAGTGACTGACCTCTCTGACCCTCAATTTCTCTCTCTCTAAAATGGAACCAAGAACCATACTTGCCCTACATCCCTTGGAGGGTCACTACTTTGTAAACAAAGTACAATAAAAATGTGAATTGTCCTTAATGTCCCTTCTGGCCCAATGTCCATCTCCGATGTCACATATACTGCACTCAGATGGCATGTCCAGCTTTGTGAACTACAACCTGTACCTTTAAGATTAAAGAGTCTCCACAGGGGAACACTGTGGATGACACGATTTGATTTGGGGCTTTATTCCTCATTTTCTTGGCTTTCTTTATTGAAACCATCATTTCCTGACTTCACAGTACAGGCACTTGTTCCATGGATATAGGCTCTATCCTCTGCATCTCTGTCAACTCCTGTCTTCCACAGTTTCTGCAGTTTAAAAAGTCCTGCAGCTAGCATGGTTAGGAGACTCTGAACTCCAGTGAGATATGCTCTAGGAGACAGACACGCAGCCCATCTCTGGACCCACACCAGGATGGCGCAAATTGTTAGGATGTTTTGTTTTGTTTTAAGATGACGCAAGTAACAATATATGGGTTCAAAGCTAGGAGGGATCTCAGCAGCTATCCCACCCAACAAATGGTCGTCCTCCCTAGAGATCAGTCCTTAACTCACTCTTACCAAAATTTAAAGGAAGAACCACTGACTTACCTTGAGAAAAGACTTGGCGGCCTTCCTACACTCTAGGTAATATTCTCTGTAAGACAGCATGTGCCAGTAATCTTTCTTTTTCGTTCCAAGGGCCATGTAATCTCCATATTTCATGACAGCTTCCCTCATGAACTGATGAACAGTCATTGGAGTCTCACTCCCATAGCCATATTTCTCCATCCTTAGCTGGACTTCTCCATCCCGATGCACGGTCCACAGAGCACGACCATCTGAGGAGGTCAATCCTGGGGATCCACCATGAGCCACTGCCCATGGAATCAAAGGGTCACCCAATGGGAAGGGACCACAAAGGGCACCTGGCCCAAGCTACATGTGACAGTGGCCTAAAGAAACCTGGGCAGCTGCCTAGGGAACTTGGAGAGGCCAGGAGGAAGGGAAGACCACGTGGGACAGGAACGAACTAGGAGCATGGTCCTGGGAGAACGGGGTCAAGAGCACAAAGGCCCAGAATGAGCAGAGGAGAACAACAGATATTAGAGATATCAACAAAAGGCTTTTAAAAAACCTCTTCTGCAGGAGGCCTTTCTCAGTTCCTCAGCAGCTAGTGATGACTTTCCTTCTCCTCTGTATGTATTCTGTTCACAGATTTTGTCTCCCCCTCCCCAGCCTTAGAATGCAAGCTTCCTGAGGGCAGCAACCACGTGTTTGCCTGTCTTTGTACCCTCAGCAGTTAGCAGTGTGCCTGGAATATAGCTTTAATCAGCCTTATGGCTGATTAAAAGAGAGGTGGAGTGTTCAGAATGATAATGACAAAGACAGTCCCACTGGCTTCTGATCTAGTCAAGTCATATCTGGAGCTGTTGTTCAGTCCTTTTCAGTTATGTCTGACTCTTCGTGACCCCATTTGGGTTTTCTTGGCAAAAATAGTGGAGTGGTTTGCCATTTCCTTCTCCAACTCATCTGCCGCTGGAGAAGGAATGAGATGGAGAAGGAGATGAGGAAACTGAGGCAAACCGGGCTAAGTGACTAGCTCAGGGTCACACAGCTATTAAGTGTCTGAGGGCAGATTTGAATTCGGGAGATTCGAAATCTAGTGCTCCTTCTATTAAACCATACAAAGGATTATAAAGGAGAGGTGCTCAAGTGTCTCAAATATGAGCAGGACCCTTGAAATCCCCCTCAATTCCTAGGAGCATCAAGCCAAGAAAGCTGGAGCCTCAAAGCCCTTGTTTGACCACTGCTGTGCCGGCCCTTCCTTACCTTCTCCCATTTTGGATTGATGCATTTCTGCCTGAGGAGCCTTTCTTTCAGTATTCTCAGTTTTACCTTCTCCTGGAACACAGAGATCGTCCTTCACAGGGCTGAAAGGCAAAGACTGAAAATGAGGACTAGGGACCCACAGCAGCTGTTCCAAACCTCTGCTTCTTCCTCCAAACCTTCCACAGACCCTCTCAGCTCTTGATGCCTGCTTCGGCAAAGAAATGGAGGCCACTGGATGAGAGTTCCCTCTTCTCCCCCTGTCATCTCACAAGGCTCTCACATTGGCCATGACCTACTTCTGCCTGCCAAGGCCAACCCCTCTACAGATGCATCTGACCCCATGCCTTCCCATCTTCTCCATCAGAATGTCATTCCCCCCTCCCACAACATTCACGTATGCGGCTTCCCTGCTGCCTCCAAATGCATCCAGGTCTCCCGCATCCTTAAAAAACCTTCACTTGGTCCTACCCTCCCCCTGAGCTATCTTCCTACATCTCTCCTCCCTTTTTGGGATCAACTTGATGAGAAAGCCAGCTACAGGAGGGGCCTCTACTTCCTCTGCTCTCATTCTCTTCTAAACCATTTGGCTTCCAATCTAACTATTCAACTGAAACTGTTCTCTCCAAAGAGACCAAAGACCTCTTAATTGTCAATTCAATTGTGAAAAGCCATGCTCAATCTACAGCCTCCTTACTCCCTTCACTCGGGTATCATCACACTGCTCTCTCTTCTCTCCTCCTACTTTTTTTGACAGCTCATTCTCTTGTTCCTTTCTTAGTTCATCATCCATGTTACTAACGGTGGGTAGCCATCAACACTCTATCTTGGGCCATCTTCTTTTTTCTCTTATCGCCTGGAGACCTCATCAACTCCCACGAGTTCAATGATCATCTCTACGCTGATGGTTCCCAGATCTCTATATCCAGCCCTCATCTCTCTCCTGAGCACTGGGTCAGCATCGCCAACTTCCTTTTGGACACCTAGACCCGACTGTCCACACAGGCTCTCCAATTCAACATATCCAAAACAGAACTCATAATCTTGCCATCCCCTGCCATCCTTGCCCACCAAAACAAACAAACAATCCTCTCTTCTGCCAAATTTCCCTGTGACTGTCAGGGACACCTTCATCGTCCCAAGCTCACAACCCTGGTGCCATCCTCAACTCTTCACTCTCATTCACAGCAGCTGCCAAGTCTCAGACTTTGCACATTCGTTAACATCTCTTGTATCAGACTCCGTGGCTTTGCTCACATAGTCGCTACCCTAATTCAAGGCACTACAGGATCCTAATTGGTCTTCCTACCTCACGTCTCTCCCACACGGTTACTAAAATGATTTTTCCTAAAGGTAGTCTAATGTCCTTTCCCTATTCAAACACCTGTGGCTCCCTACTACCTCGAGGATCAGACATATAAACTCATCGGTTTGGCTTTTAAAGCTCTTCACAAGCCATCCTCATCTTTCCAGTATTCTTTTTTTTTTCACATTAGTCATGTTGTAAAGAAGAATTAGAACCAATAGAAGGAACCACAAGAAAGAAAACAAAATAGAAGAAAAAACACAGCAAACAATATGCTTCCATCTGCATTCAGACTCCAGAGTTCTTTCTCTGTGGATATGCTATGTGGATAGCATTTTCCATCATAAGACTTTTGGAGATGTCTTAGACCCTGGCACTGCTGAGAAGAGCTAAGTCTATCAAAGTTAGTTATTGCACAACGTGGCTGTGGCTGTTACTGTGTATAGTGTTCTCCTGGTTCTGCTCACTTTGCTCAACATCAGTCAACTCTTTCCAGGTTTTTCTGAAGTCAGCCTGTTCATCATTTCTTATAGCACAACAGTATTCCATTACATTCATATACCACTTGTTCAGCCATTCCCCAGTTGATGGGCATACTCTCAATTTCCAATTCTTTGCCACAAAAAGAGCTGCTATAAATATTTTTGTACTTGTGGGTTTCTTTCCCTTTTTTTTTTGGCTAGGCAATGGGGTTAAGTGACTTGCCCAGGGTCCCACAGCTACTAAGTGTTATGTGTCTGAGGGCACATTTGAACTCAGGTCCTCCCGACTCTAGGGTCGGTACTCTATCCACTGCGCCACCTAGCTGCCCCTTCCTTTCCCATTTTTATGATCTCTTTGGGATACAGCCCTAAAAGTGCTACTGCTGGGTCAAAGGGTATGTACATTCTTATAGCCCTTTGGGCATAATTCCAACTCCAGAATGGTTGGATCAGTTCACAACTCTAGCAATAATGCATTAGTGTTCCCATTTTCCCACATCTTCTGCAACATTTGTCATTTTCCTATTTTGTCATGCTGCCCAATCTGATAGGTGTGATGTGGTACCTAGAGTTGTTTTGATTTGCATTTCTCTAATCAGTAGTGATTTAGAGCATTTTTTCATATAACTATAGATGGCTTTAATTTCTTCCTCTGAAAACTGCCTGTTCATATCCTTTGACCATTTACCAATTTCTTTCCAGTATTCTTACACTTTGTTCCCCTTCCTGCACTCTGTGATCCAGCTACACTGGTCTGTCAAATGCAATTCTCCATCTCCCACCGCCACGCCTTTACATTCACTGGATACACCACACACCTGGAATGCTCTACCTCTCACCTCCACCTCTCTGGTACCGGTACCCTGGCTTCCTTCAAGGCTCAGCTCATGCTACCTTCTGCATGAGGTCTCCTCCAGGCTCCTCAGTTGATAGCGCCTTTCCCTCTAGCCTGCCTTCCATTGACTTGCTATGTATCTGGCATGTACCTAGTTCCTTACATGTTACTATAAAATGAGTTTCTTGAGAGCAGAGGCTATTTTTAGTTTTTCTTTGTATCCCCAGCACTTCACACGGTGGTTGGTGTACAGGAGGTACCTAATAAATGCCTGTTGACTGATCGATTAAAGGGCAATACAGTTTCCCTATCTCCCGTCTCCTCCTGTTCCCCACCAGGGGATGCCAGTTTTCTCCAAGTCTCTAAGCTCAAACTGGGTGCAAGTGAAGCCACAAACCACTTAGTATTTTTAGTTCATCATAATGGATACAGTGCTAGCTTTGAGGTTGGGTAAACCCAAGTTCAAATCCTACCTTTGGTACTGTATAACCATGGGCAAGTCTCTTTCTGATCGTTGGGTTTTTCCTCATCTGTACAAGGGGGATTATAATATCTGTGATGCCTACCTCCAAAATAAGGTTCTTGTCAGGATCAAATGAAATAATGTTAAAGCACTCTGCAAAACTTTATTAATCATGAAGCACCTATTAGTAATCACTGAGCACCTGTGTTGTATGTATAGGGCAATATGCTAAGAAACTTAGGTCGTTAAAGCTGGTAAGGACTGAAGAGATCATTCAATCCCTTCACCCTAGAGCTACAGTAGAAAGAACAATGGACAAACATAGGTTCAAGTCCCAGGTCTTCCAGAAAGTCACCAGGTATCCAAGGCTAGGTCATGTCCTCTCAGTCTTAGTTTCCTTATCTGCAAAATGGGGTTAAGGAGTTATATTTACACTATCTACCTCACAAAGAAAGCAAAAACATTTTATAACCCTCAAAGAAACTTAGGGATTAAACAAATTTATTTTACACATAGGGTTAAGCCCTTTCACATTATTTCTCTTCACTCACTCTCCATCCCAGGCAAACTGGCTGGCAAAAACAAAACCAGTGTAGTTAAAATTAGAAAGCAAACAGTTTACCAGGGGGAAAAAAAATCCTTGCAGAAAGTTTCTCCTATAAAGAAAAAGACTTTTATCTCCTGATAAAGATCTCATATCAAAGATAAGAAGGAATTGATTCAAATGCATAAGACTTATAGTCATTTTCCAACAGATAAATGGTCGATAAATATGAACAGGCAGTTTTGAAAGGAAGAAATCCAAACAAGCATATGAAAAATACTTCAACTCACTAATAATCAAAGAGATACAAATGAAAACATCTCTTGGGTTCCGCCTTATATCCATCAAATTGGCAAAGATAAAAAAGGAAAATGACAATTTTTGGAAGGGCTGTGGGAAAACAGGCACATTAGTATACTGTTGGTGCACTGGCCCAGGCAGTCTTGAGAACAGTTTGAACTATACCTATAGTCACTAAATTATACACACCCTTTGGCCCAGTGATGGGGCTATGCCCCAAAAGGGATCAAAGAAAAGGAAAAAGGATCTATGTGTATCTACTTACAGCAGCGCTCTTTCTTATAGCCAAGAGGGTGCCCATCCACTGGGGGAATTATGGCACATGAACAAAGTGGAATATTATTTGACCATAAGAAATGACAAAAGACTTGGCTTCAGAGAAACCTGGGAAGATTTCCATGAACTGATGCAGAGTGAGTTAAGCCTAACCAGGAGAACGATTTATACATCACCTTGTAAGGACAAGAAAGACTTAAGAATTATGACCAATACAACGAGCAGCTATAATTCCAGAGAACAGCTGAAGAAGAAATATGCTATGGAAGCATGCTGACAGAGAGGGGATGGGACATGAGATGCAGGAGACATACATTTTCACAGGCAATGTGGGAATCTGTTTTGTTTGTGTATACGTATGTCCTTCAAAGGCTTGTTTTTTTTCCTTTCCTTAATAGGAGAGGCAGGGTGGGGAGGCAAAGGGAAGCTAGGGTGCTGAAAATAAAATTTAAAAAGTGACACACGTTTTTGAAAAGCACAGAAGAGAACAGAAGGAAGTCCAGAAGGACTCACAGACAATCAGGACAGCTTTCAAAGTAACATGTTATATTTATTATATACTTAAAAAGAAAAGCAAGTTGTAAAAATAACTCACATTTAGATAGTGCCTGCTATGTGCCAGGCCCTGTGCTAAGTGCTTTACAATTATTTATCATTTGAGCCTCACAACAACCCTGGGAGGTAGATGCTATTATCATCCCCATTTTGCAGATGAGGAAACTGAGGAAGACAGAGATAAAGTGACTTGCCTGAGTGTCTGAGGCTGGATCTAAACTCAAGTCTTTCTGACTCCAGGCCTGCAGCTGTATCCACTACTCCACCTCATTGACATCATACATTCAGAGTTTTATGTACAAGCCCCCTCTTTCTGCTACACTACGTAGACAGACCTGCTCAT